TTGTCCAAAGTAAACACCTCTTCCACTGCAGGAAAACATTTCCAAATTCTTTTTGAACATGTTTTCCTAATTTCCACATAATTACGAAGGAATTATGAGTTATTCAATCTTTAAAACTTCAATTATCCATGAAACGGAATTCTATTTTATTCGTAATACAGTAAGTTAAAAACGCCAGAATTGATAAAAAAATGCAAATTGGTGAAGATAGCTTGTTTTTTTTTATTGCTTGTACAGTGCACAAAGAAAAATAAATGCAACCCTGAATAACTTTCAATCTAATAATCGGATCTTCACGTTCTAGGACTCAACCTTAATGGTTTGAGTGGGTGACCTCAAATATTCTAATTAAGTAGTGCAGACGATATTTTAAGTTACAAAATCAAGCATTTTTTTGGATTAACATACCATTTTTATAACGGATTTAGATTTCTGATCCTCAGAATATGGATAGCTGCAATATAAAGAAGTCATTTAATTAAAATTCAATTTCTCAGGGACTTTCAACCAATTTTTCTCAAATTTTGCATTTTGCCATGTAAAATGAATACTTTAAAATGATGTAACAAATTGTATACCTTAAAATTCACGAAATTCTCGACTGTTAATAAAGAAAATAATAAATATTTGGTAAAAAATACTTTTTGCATGGAATTATCTTTGGATAAACAAATTTTATAACTGTGTGCAAAAAATTTTTTAATTCGCTTAAAAAGTAACAAGAGATGGCGAAATAAGCAAAAATGATGACGGAAACCCAGATGGTGGCTACTTTACATATTTTTGGTGTCAAAAATCCGCCTCCATTGAAAAAAACGCATGTTTTCAAGGAAAGTATGTCTTAGATTAGTGTAAGATTTTGAAATTTAAAATATCGAAAAAATTATTTTTATTCAATCGAATAAATTTTTTATAGGTTAGTAAAGCATTGTTAGTCTAGCAAAACACAGTATAGACATTTAACAGTGATAGTCATTTTGAAGCGTTTATCATTCCACATGCATTTCAAATGCGGTAATTTTATTTGAATTACTTTTGGAAATATTTATTTTTTAAAAAATTCTGAAACTGCTACGTAAATAACCACTGAGCCATCATGGCTCAGTTTTTAAGGCACTGAACTATCATTATAAAATACTGGAGTTTAATCACCAGTCACTGCTTGAAACCCACCCAGCTTCAGATTGATAGGTATTAGCTTGTTGGGAAGTAAAGGTGACTGTGCGCAGTTGCTGACCACATTGCAACCATCATGCCGTTGATCACGAAATTGTTAATCCTTAACCTCCATGACCTCTTGCCCATATCGGGTCGTGGTTGGAATACTTTACAAATAAACTAAAACTACATAAATTTGTAGATTACTATACGTTGATTGTAATTCATTGATATTTTGAATATTTTTTTAGAAAGATGCATTTAAACACATGTTTATTAAACGTATTTAACGCAGATTATTTTTCAATACTGCATTATCTTTAGGTGTATAAAAAACAGAACTACAAGGCAACTAACTAAGAATTACTACTAAGATTAAAAACAAGACAACTAACTAAGAATTACTACTAAGTTTAAAAACATGACAACTAACTAAGAATTACTAAGATTAAAAACAAGACAACTAACTAATTATTACTACTAAGAATTAGTAAATTACTACTAACTGCGAATTAACTACAAGAAACAGCACTCTTTAACATCAAAATAGTTTATCTTTTAGTATAATAATAATAAAATTTCAAATATATGCAAAACTACAACAGAATAATAATATTTTAATGCCATATATCTGTAAACTGAGCTTCAGTTTGTAACGAAAACAGATCCATCAAAGGTATAGACATCCGTTTTTAATATATAATGTTATTTCTCACAACTTGTGTTTAAAATACATGATTAAGGCATAATTGGCGTATACCTTTCGCAATTGCTTATAGAACAAGTCTAGGCCATTATAGTTCACTTTTGGCTTCTCTTTTCTCCTGAAAATGCATTGTAAGCCACACAAAAAAAGAGACCAAAAAGACATGCAAAATCTCTTACAGAAAGGCGTGCGTTCAAAAATTATGTTGCACAACAAAAGAAACTGCATTGACAATTTTGCGTGTTGCACAGTTTGCTCTCATCGTAATAGTCATCGTAAGGATCTTGTGGGTGATTTTTAACAATCCGCAGCGATTGGAAACACTATCACGTGATCGCGTGACGCAGTTTCGGAAAACCGAGCTGTTGCCAGATGCGTGAGCAGATGTCTAATTTCTTTTTACTTTGTATGTATTAGCTTAAAGTAAAAGATTTTTAGTTTGTTTTTCTTCTTTTTTATTTAATTTTTCCCAATGCCCATCGAAAGCACTTCTCACAATGCGTGTTCATAATACTGTAGTAAGAGTTTGCAAATTGAAGGTTCTCCCATCCTTTACATGGGTAATGTAAACAGATATACAACATTTTACCCTTATAAGAATTCTGGTGTGAACTAAGTAAGAATTCGCGTGTGGCTTTGCATTTCTGAGAAACTAATTTAGTAAACAGTTAGAATGTTCTTCATTATGTTGAAGGGTTATATGGCTTATTTTAAAGAGCTTTGTCTTCTTAAGTAATGACTCTCTATCGTGTCGTGTTTGATAGCTATAATTTGCAATTATGTTGCATGAAAACAATAAATGCTTCAAAATGTGCATGAGGTTAGACGTGTAGTAGCCTTTAATATATATATTTAGAATTTTTATGCTAATTAAGGGTCAGAAAGTACTATTTAAGCAAGGAAACAAAAAAAATCGCAATCAAAATCCAAACTTTTACTAAAGAATAGAATGTTGAAAACATTGAAACCTGTTTGATTACCAAGGAAACAGAGAGTAATTAAGGTGATTAAACTATAAAAATTTCTGGATCAAATTATGGTAAAATGTACCGGCACTCTGGGTGCCGGTACTTTTTACTGTTAAATACATTATTACTGGAACATGTTACGGAACAAATCATCAAATATACCGTAATTTTTATAGAAATAATTACAGTGAAATCACTGATTCACTCAAATTAAATAAATATTACTAAAAAACTACGGTATATTATTTTACGGTAAATCATGAATTTTACGGATGATGCACCAAAAGTGCTGGTACTTTACACCGAAATTAGATCCGGAATTTTTTACAGTGTATTAAAGGCAGTTTTAAATTTCTTTTGGTAATTAAACTGGTTATGATTTTTTTAGTCCTATTCTGCCTTTCTCAGTAATGATTCGTTAGATTTTGATAGTGTTTCTGTTTTTTCGCTGCTACAATAATGATTTACAATTCTCATTGCGTATACTTTTTATATACTTCATCGTTGACAGAAAATATATACGAGTATATTCAAAAAATATATATTAAAGTTTATCATTACGGAATGCCCTATTTATTTTCAAAGTCAAATCCTAGATAGCAGGCTACGGCAAACCTTTTCATTTGTTTATCCTACAAAGGTTGACTAATTGATCTTGTTTTAAGCTTAGTAGAAATATTTGTATGCCAAGCTTGTTTCCTATTTAATAAAGGTAGGCAGAATCTTTACCAAAAAAAAAAATATTTTTTAGTTTTTAAAGTAATTCCTGTTTTTGCTTCTTTTCATTCAAGCTTCTTCCAGGCTCTCAAATACAACATTTTGTAAATTTGAAAATTTAATGATCAGGTCAAAATTCACTTTTAAAGTGTTAATGTATAAATAAAATTTGTTCAAATAAACCCAGTTTCAGAGATGTCCATAAAATCTAAATTAAGCAGTGATTTTATTCTCGGTTTGAGAACACTTTTTTCTTTTGGTATGCAAATAATGATTTGATCTTCGATTTCAAAAGCTTTTTCTAGTCTTGTTTTATAAAGACCGATTCAATATCGATATGAATTGATATGATCGATATGATTGTTTATTCAAGCTTAATGCAAACCTCTTAGGGTGTAAATTAACATGGTTAAATTTAACATTTAAAGCTTGCATGGTTTATATGCTAAACATTTTTAAACCTTATTGGACTTTGTGTTAAAATTTGTTAATGACATTAAAATCTACCTTACACTGCTATTTGGGATTTATCATAATTTAAAAAATGGATTTCCCAGCTTCTGTATTTCCTATATTTAAAGACAGTTGTTAATAATTCGTAAAATAATCATTAAAACTAGGTTTGCTTGAAAAATAGGCTATTAAATTATGCTTAATGCAATTACAGTTTATTGTTTTTGAATCGACGTTGTTATATTATATCAGTTTTGTTCGTATATGAGCCATGATATTCGATTTTTTTCATACTCTACTAAATCCCATCCTGTAATGATTGGTAATATCATATTCAATTCGATTATATTTATTTTTATTCGGTTATACATTGTGTATAGTTATCTAGAAAATTTAAAAATAATATTGAATAATTTGGTCAATTGAATAATTGTTTGATTAACTTCTAAGCAATAACGCGTGAATATGCTTTAAGAAACAATTCATAAAACCTATGTGTATTATAAATTATTTAAATTGTTTTAATTTAAAGATTCAAAATAATACCCACGTAGCAAAATTAACTTTAGAATCGCATTTATGTATAATATCTCTAACAATTTTTAGATATTCAAAATTTCAAAATTTTTTCTGAAAAGTTCAGTTAAAAAAATTTTACTTTTAAAAATTAAAATTCCACAGGTTTCAGATGATTTTGATTATGACAACATTACTCTTTCTGGAAGAAGGAATTTATTGATATTACCCTTATGATTATGACTCTTATGATCGTGATTATGCTGATATTATCTGTATACTATGCAACTTTTTCATCGTTATGTAACTTTTTCGATTATGTAAGTAAAGCATCATAGTTGTGGAAGTGAAACTTTATGATTGGGATTTTATTGATATGAATGTGATCTTATTGAGTTACAATTCTAATTCTGAAAATATAATTCTAACTTAATGTAATTTAGTAGCAAAGTTTTACAATGACCGAATTATTTTTGTTTCAGGCCGCGGTGATCTTGGAGTAATAGATAGTGAAGCATTTGATTTCAGCCAACTTGAAGATTACATCAATGATGATAATGAAAACAATATGTAAGTTGAATTGTTTAATATATATATATAAAAACAAAATAAAGACAAAAAGGATAAAAGAAAAGAGAGATTAACGAAGAAAAATTAAGAAAAATGATTATAAGTTTTATTTAATACCCATAAGCTGCAAGTACTTAGAACTCATACAATAAGTTAAAAATATAGAGTGAACATGAAAAAAGTCCATGTCTAAAGATTTTTTAAAAGATAAAAAAAAATTTTATAAAATATTTAAAAATTATTCAAAATTAAAAAGCCGAAAAACAAAATAAAAAAAAGATATAACCTCGCCATTAGCTCACACAATTACATCATCAAAAAAGAGTGTTTTCTTACATTGTATCAATGTATTTAAACAGTTTTAGTAACCTGAAACTTTAATAACAGTTTTTAATTATGCGAAATATGCAAGATTTATGATTGGGCGAGAGCAGTTTTGTATCTTGATTTAAATTTAAAAAACTAGAAGATATGTAAGAATTTAAAATTATTCAAAATAATCACGAGGCTTAATGGAATAAAACCTTTTTGTGTTTTTACTCTGTTTTAAACTCTCTTTTATTGCTAAAAAACTTCTTACAACTAATAATTACGAAGTTTAAAAAACTGAAAATGTTTTAGTATTCCGACTTGATTATACATTATTTTATAAGACTGAAACATTAAAAGTAATTTATAATCACTGAAAAATGCTGGAAAAATCCTGTTTCGACTATAATTTAAAATTTTTTATAAAACTAAAAAATTTAAAGCACTTTAAAGGTTTTGCCTAAATATAAATAGATGAAAAGAATTTTGTATCCTGACTTAATATGCTTTGTATATATAAAATTAGAATTTTTTAATACAGTTTATACAGTTTATACTACACGATGAAGACGACAACCAACAGTTTTATATTAGATTTTTAGATAATTTTTTTGAACAATTTTATAGGATTAAAAAACTAACAGTAAACATAACAGCTTGCAATTAGACGAAAAATGGGTAAAATAAAGATGCTTTAGTTTGTTTTTGAATATCTTGTTCTAACAGCTATGTACAAATACGGAAATTTCTTGATTTAGATAAAGAATCACATGACTAAAAGTATAAAAATACATTGATAAATAGGTCTTTACATTGAAGTTAGTTAGGTCCTCGAACCATTGAGATACAGTGCTAGGTACCAATATCTTCAGATCAAAAATTATTGAAACTCTTCTCTTTTTTATTTTGCGTACTGCACAAAATCTGTTAAATGATACTTATTTCTTAATAAGAGAAAAATATTGATTAAAAAAAAATTTGTTCTTCATAAAGAAAATGTGTATATAATATTATCACATATTATCTTCTTTTAATATTACATGATAAAATGCTAGTATTAAAAAACACTAGGAAACAAATTTCATTTTTGTTTTCGGTTGCATGAGATTTTTTTAACAGATCTTAGATATTTTCGTATCGCTAATTTCAAATCTGCAATCGGTTTCTCTTTCCAAGTTACAGTTTGTTTTTTTAATGACATTTTTAGTCTATTTTTTATCGAAATGTACAAGTTTCAAAACATTATATACAATAAGAGTTTCTGTAATCATTGCGACAAATTTCTAGTTGAGTTAAAGAGCATTATCAGAATTGAAATATAAGAACCCATGCTCGGAAATGTCGTCATATTCGCCACTAGGGGAGCTTCCCCATCATGAACTATTTCTAAGTGTGTTTCTGAACAGGTTTTTTTCTTTTTTTTTAATTTCATAACCATCGCTGAACAGTCGACCCAATTTATTGGGCTTACGACTACTGATGTTCAACTCCGTAGTGTTGTAATTTTGAACCCAATCCGGAAGACAGGGAAACTCTTGGATCAAGTATTGGAAGAAATTTGCCTTAGTGAAAAACTTTTTGATGGAACTAACCCGCCTTTGCGTTACATGAAGAAGAAAACTTCGAAAATCTTCCACTGCTAGCCTAACGTCGAAGGTACTCTAACCCATGATCCGTCTACCACTGACGATATTTTACGTGAGCACTGTGGTCGATACGAGTCTGGTGCGACCAGCCATCGCTGGGATACGATCCCGGTTCACCTCATTTGAAGTTGAATATTCTATCCCCTGAGTCACCACGGCTATAATAGGGAAGCACCCCTTGCCACGTATGACGACATTTTCGGGCATGCGCTCTTAAGCAATTTTGTTCTTGATAATCTACTCCAACTGCCCTATGTTATAACGTTTTTAAACTTGTACAGTTGGATAAAAAAAAAAGGCTAAAAATACCATTTAAGAAAATATCTGTAGCTTTAAGAGCGAAGCTAATTTCAGACTTTAAATCTCCAAGTCCTAATTAGGCAAGATCAAATATCTGTGTAAATGAAACAAAAAATTTGCTCCTCTGAGTAATTATTCAATTTTCTTCCGCGAGCGCAATTTTTAATAATTAAATATTTAAAAAAAATATTTTTTTGTAATTTTATTTTTTTAATAATTTTCATTTTTTGTTTTCACATCTTTCACACAACAAAATATTAAAAACTAAAGAAGGAAAAAAAGCATATAATTTGTTTTTATTTCAATAGTTATTTCCATGAGGCCTTAGTTACGTCTAGTGATTTAAAATTAACTGAAACCACCGATAAGCCTCCTCTGTATCTACGGAACAGTCATCATAGCCTACCTAAAGATTCAACCAGCGTCCAAGTACCCGTCGAGGCCACGGAAACCCACGGCCACCCCTCACTCGGCATCAGATTGTCACAAGGGGCCGCGGAGACCTCCGTCCATTCTCCGTCCACTCCAAATGTTCTCTCCCAACAAAAGAGTAGTTTCTCTGTCAGAAATATTCAGAATAATGGGGTTGACGTCACTTCATCTTTTACAAAACCGTAAGTATTTTCGTAATTTTTTCGCCATAATTTATTCTCTCTGTTTCTTTCAGTTTTATTCAGCTCGCAGAAGTAAATATTTATTTTTCTCGATTTCAATATGTCAAATAATACTCAATTCAAATATGTCAAATAAATTGAGGAAAAAATGAGCGAAAATGTAATGGTCATCGATCACGTTAAGACTTATTCTTTATATTATGTGTATTTATATTGCTTGAAATGTATTTAACCTTACAACGAAGGATTTCTTATAAATGTTTGACAAAATATTTTCTTAAACTAAAGTTTTTGTTATTTTCAAAGAGTTTTCATTATACAATCTACGCTCTTTAGTACAACTTCCACTACAACGACCTTTCGATTAAAACTGCCTTCGCATAAAGTCCTTTTTGCAATTGTTGTTGTTGTCCATTTACGTTGCAATAGAGCTGCACAATGGGCTATTGGCGACGGTCTGGGAAATATCTCTGAGGATGATCCGAAGACATGCCAGCACAATTTTGATCCTCTGCAGAGGGGATGGCACCCCCTCTTCGGTAGCCCGACGATCTGCACGTGAAGTCGTACACTTTACAGTTGAACAGTTTAACGAGGACCGATACTGCACACCCTCGGTCATTACACAGACTAATCCAAGTGGTCACCCACCTGCACTCTGACCGCAGCCAGTGATGCTAGATCGGTGATCTGCTGGGAACCGTGACTTAACGATCAGTCTACTGCGGTACCCTAATGCAATTCCATAATGTTATTTTAATGTCTATTTTAACGTCTGCCCTAAACTGCTTATTCCAATATAGCGACCGAAGTTCATTAATTTGATTTAGAAAAAGTTTCAAAGAAATTATTTAAACCATTATTTTCTGTTGCGTGTATTTATATCGGTTTAAATGTACTTATTTTTTTATTACGAGAGATTTCTCATATATTTTTGATGAAATGTTTTGTTATGTGAATTTCTTTTTATTTTAAGACAGTTCTCGTAATACAATCTACGCTCCTTAGTACGACTCTCATTACAGCGACCTTTCCATTAAAACGACCTATGCATTAAGTCTTGTTTTCAACTCCATAAACGCAATGTAATTTTAATATCAATTAGAACGATCGCACTGAACTGTTCATTTTAATATAGTGACCAAAATTTAATCATTTGAATTTGAAAAAGTTTCAAAAAAATTATTTAAACCAATATTTTCTATTACGTGAATTTATATGGTTTTAAACGTATTTAGTTTTATAATAAGGGATTTCATTTCTATTTTTGACGAAAGGTTTTCTTATGCAAATGTTTATTTTTATTTTTAAACAGTTTTCATTATACAATCTATTATACAATCTATATCTTTCATTATACAATCTTTAGTACGACTCCCATAACAGAGACCTTTCCAATATAACGACCTATGCGTAAAATCCAATTTGCTATTCTATAGATGCAATGTTATTTAAAACATACCTCCGTTCGTCAAAATTTTCCTTCCAAAATTTAGTCATTTGACTTAAAAATGTTTTAAAAAAATTATTTTAACCAATATTTTCATTGATATTACCACATAATAAATGTAAAAAATCATGCATTTTATTTCAATGAAAGAAGAATATTATGACTCCTAAATTCTTATCCTAAATTCTGGGAGGTCGTAATTTACGGTCTTTCTTAATCTGTATAACATTCTTTTCAAAGTATACAATAAATTTATTAATCCAATTTTTGATGTTTGAAAATTTTGTTTATTCTTTTTGTCAGTTCCCTTGCTTTGTTTATTTTGGAGTTAAAACACGTGTTCTACGCAATTATCTAGACGTATGTATTTATCAAAATTAGCAGCTTCAAACCAGCATATTATTACTAATTCATCTATGAAGTATTATTTAAAAAGGGTATATTAACATGCATATTAATATAAGGAAAGTTGTGTTATTACCGATTTTTCTGTTAATTACCAAATTAATATTGGAGTAAAGCATTCCTTTGTTAAAATGGCCAAATATTTGTTTTAGCTATGAGTCAATATTTATGGTATTTTTGAGCACTCATTATATAACGACCTCACATTATAATGTTCATTTTTGCCCATTCCACGACGGTCGTTATATCGAGCGTTGACTGCATAATATTAATGTTTTCAGAAATCTATTTAGAAAATTGCCACTGTCACTGTAAACTGTAACTGCCATTTCGCAATACATCAGTCTGTTTGGAAAATTCTCCAGTATTTTCAAATTAGTCTAACACCAACTAGGTTTACTTGATTAGAAACTTCATTCCCTTCAAAAATATACAAAATGGAATTAATGATCGACATATTTCAAGCTCTCAAAGATAGATTCCCATTTTCAAGACTTACCAGACTTTCAGATATCTAACGAAACAAAAGACTTTCAGACTTTTCAAGACTTTCAGATATGTAAAGAAGCAAAAGTAATTTGAAATAGAGAACACAAAGATGCAAACGAAAAAAGGAAAATTAAAGATGAGAAACAAAAGTAAAAGAAACCACAGTAATAAAAGAAACCACAGGTATTTTATTTAGGTAGCATTAGAGCTGCACAATGGGCTATTGGCGACGGTCTGACAACATCTCTGAGGATGATCCGAGGACATGCCATCGCAATTTTGATCCTCTGCAGAGGTGATGGCTCCTCTGTTTTGGTAGTCCGACGATCTACGCGCGAAGTCGAGCACTTTACGCTAGAACAGTTAAACTGTTCTCCGTAGGCCGATACCGCGCACACTTGGACCCTGTGCAGGCAAAGTGGTCACCTATCTGCTTACTGACCGCAGTCAGTGATGCTTGATTTCGGTGTTCTACTGGGAACCGTGTCTTTACGATCAGTTCACTGCGGGACAGAAAAAGCATGAAAAACGCAAGAAGAAAAACCACAATGGCCGAGAGAGGGAAATCAGGATAAATGCATTTCCACTCACTATAGAGAGGTGGAGAGGAACTAATTTCGTTAACAAGGAAATCAGCATTCACATGAATAAAACAAGATTCCAGGGAATCAAAAAGAGCTGAGGTGACTGGGTTGGAAATAATTTCATGCCCAAAAATCCCAATAATGTGCAGCAATTGATGATTTTTTTTAATTCTTTAAAATGGGCATATCAATCAAATAATATCTTACTGCTTCAATTTTTTGGGATTATTAATTAGCTAACTAGGCTTATTTCAATAAGCACAGTTAGTTACAGACCAATAAGAAAAGATAGATATTATTCCTTGATTGTTCCTTGCTTGGAAACGTAATTACTGGTAGGCCGATTTTTACTTAGTCTAGATAGTTTTAGGCTATTTAAAAAATATATTTTATTCTTTGCCTAATTAGCCAATTCACTATATTTGAAGTGTTGGCACAATATGAGGTTCCTTGCAATAAGCGTAAACAAATTCAGGTTGACTTAGCAAATCATCTTACATATTTTTAATTAGCCTAAAAGCATATAGACTGATTATTATATGCTCGAAAAAAGTCACACTGCATAAAAAATCCTGGAGATTTTTCCAACTAGCTTGGCGTAATGGAAAACGAGGGTGATATTTGCAATCAACCTATTCAGTTAGCCTACCACATTGTATGTATTATATTAAAACCTGTTTGATTTCGTACTAATATTTTATATCATTCAATATAGACATCACTTACCCGACAGCCCTCCTGACTCGGGATCGGAACCGCCTTTCTCACCCGCTAACGAAGGTAAGTATTTTTCTTAATTATTAAAATTCTTAACTATCCTTAATTTATTTTTCTTAATTATTATTCTGGATCCAATGTTATTCCGATTGCATTGAATCATCGTCTACGTATGATTTCAGCTTATAATATTTGCACCTCTAATGTATTTGCCTTAATAAATAATTAATCTAACCGTTTCGCATAATATGATGTAGCGATTAAACTTCGATTTAAAAAAGTTTTTTGGACTATGTGCTAAAAAAATTATTTTAACCTTTTTTTCAACCAATGTTTGATAAGGGTAAAATGGAGGAAATTTTGCCGCAGCAGCTACCTGTATGATGCTATAAGCACCATATTCTGCATGCTTTTAAAGAAAGATCTTTAGGAAAACAGAAGTGTATGGAAATTAGAGAACGGTTTAGTCTATAATAGAAGCGATAAAGTGATTAGAAAGGAGTCTCTAAAAATAACTGCAAACTTATAATAAATAGTCGTTAAATTTTTTTGTCTAATCTGACCTTTTATTAATTCATGGAAACTTCCCTTAACAAATCTTCTTCTTCTTCAGCACGACAGCCCCTTACAGGCCTTGGCTGCCTCAACCACGCGTAGCCTCCAACGCCTCCTATCCATGGCGACTTTTTTCCAGTTGTTAATCTTCATTATTTTGAGATCTTTAGTAGTGTCATCCAGCCATCTAGTTGGAGGCCTTCCTCTGGCCCGAGATCCCGAAGGATTTTTAAAGGTGGCGATTCGTACTGCATTGTTTTCTGGACCTCTCCAGATATGGCCAAGCCATTTTAATCTATTGCTTCGGATGACCTGCACTATCTGTGTCTGTCCATAGAGTCTATATAATTCAAAGTTGTATCTGATTCGCCAACAGCCTCTTTCCTGTTCTGTGCCAAAAACATTTATAAGGATTTTTCTTTCAAAATCCCTTAACAAATAGGCTAAGAATAAATCGTTTGCGCTTGATTAATATGCAGCATGTATTTGGAATAATACTTAATAAATCTATAAATGCATTTTTTCTTATTATAAATAGTTTTTAGCTTATACAGTGACGCCAATTACGCCTGGTGATTCACAGAAAACTTTGATGTATTTAATTTGCCTTTCATTATAAAAATAGCTTCATTTGATGCTTAAAAATTTTAAGAACTAGCTCATTTTAAGTATCTCATTTTTTTTAAAACCTATACTTGTTTCTGTTGCAGATCCGAAATTGAGGTGCCCATCTATAGACTTACTTCATCACCATCATCAGCATCATCATAGTCATCATCACCTTCCACAATCAGCAGAAATGTCCGTCCATTCTTCGGGGTCAACAGAAGCCTTGAAGCATCAGTATCTTGGTTATGGGCACAATTTGCCCCTTAAGCACTTGACAGAAACCGCCATATCTTCTTCAACCTCCCCTACGTCATCCTCATCATCTCCTCACCGTGTAAGTAATTAGAAATTCTACTAACGTCTTAACTGTTTTTTTTAAATTCAAAATACTCAAAAATTTAAGAAATGAAAAATCTTAACATTTAGTTCCATTAACATTTAGCCTGTCACATATTAGAAACAATCCTAATATGTGGCAGACCAACTGAAAACAAATTAATCATATTTATTAAATAGTTTTAATCTCTTGTTTTATTAGCACTTTGCCTGCAACAAATTAGAAATCTTTTTAAATTGTAGTAGACCAAGTAGAAAACAAATTAATTATATTTATTAAATAATTTTAATCTCTTGTTTCATTAGCACTTTGCCTGCAACAAATTAGAAATCTTTCTAAATTGTAGTAGACCAAGTAGAAAACAAATTAATTATATTTATTAAATAATTTTAATCCTTTGCTTCATTAGCACTTTGCCTGCAACAAATTAGAAATCTTTCTGAATTGTAGTAGACCAAGTGCAAATGAAAACAATTAATTGTATTTTTCAAACACTATTAATCTTTTGTTTTATTAGCACTTAGTCTTTTACATTAAAGAAATCAATCAAATATGTGTCAGGCTGCTAATGAGAACATATTATTAAGCTTATTGAACAATATTAATTTTTCTCTTCTGAATCTATCATGCTAAATCTGAAGAGGATAAATTGAGTAATTAAACCATTCTAGTCATTTTAAACTGTGGTTGACTTAGATTAAACTTTAAAATCCTTGACAACTCAAATATGTAAATAGTTTTAAGTAATCTCTTTTTTATTTGCGCATTGAAAAACCATTAAAATGTTAAAATAAGTGAAATTTAGTATCACTGACTCTCATTAAGATAATGTAAGATTAAACATGCACTGAAAGAAATTTAAAAACTTACAGCAACAACAAACATTAAAATAACTGACATATTGGGACACAAACTCTCAGTGATATAAAACTCAACACATAATGAAACAGATTATTAACTGCAAAAGTTTTAAAAAGCCTTAAAATAACTGACATTTTTCCTACTAACTTTTATTATTATAGTATTAAATAAATTACAAAATGAAATATCAAAGAATTATGAAAAAAAGAAACATTAAAGTAACTGACATTTTGAGAGACTGGCTATCTTTAATATAAAAATCAACAAATGAAACAAATTATTAAATGTAATTTTTTTTTAAAAAAAGAGCATTGAAATAACTGTGATTTTGTGACACTAAATCTCATTGACATAAAATTTAAGAAATAATAAAACCAATAACATTATGAATTAAATATAAAAAAAATTTAACACAGTGTTTTTTTAAAGAGTTTTCCTTATTTTTTAATCTAGTTTCATGAAATCAAAATAATGTTAAGTTTTTAACTGGTGACTTTTAAAACCAGCATTTTATTTAAATTACATAAAATCAAAATCAAAGGAAAATATATGGACCATAATGTTTCAACCTGTTTAAGAAATGATGCAAAACATTTTGCAAAAAAAAAATTATTTGCTTATTGTTCGAGTTTCAGAAAATCAAAATAAAAGAAATATCAAATATTTTTAAATACGTATAAGAGATATATGAAAGAAATAAAAATGTTGGAAGAAGTTGGATATATTTTATAAATATAAAATTAAACAAATTTATTAAAATAGGTTAAACATGTTTATGTTTATTTTTTTAAGCAAATGAAGTTTTTTATCAAGTTCATTTTATGTTCCTTTCCTTATAAGGAAAACTTTTCAAAATGTTTATAAAATGAAAATATTTTTGGACCAGTAATTTTCTTGCGGCTCATTCTAACTGTTAATCTATGGTAAAATTAATTATGCATCAAGTTCGTAGAAAGATATGTGAAGCAATAAAATTATTTTATCTTCTACATCTCAAAAAAATTTTGTTTTGAAACAAACAAAAAAACTAAAAATCAGTCATCATACAAAATTTTATAAACACACACTATATTTTTACAGATTGTATAATTATTCATATGTTCTAGTATCAGAAAATCAAAGTAAAAGAGATCCAAATAACTTGAAATAGATGGAAGAAATATGTAAAGGAAATAAAAATGTTTGTAAAAATTAAGGAACTATTTTGTTTTGCCTATTTTACCCTTTTTCCTTATAAAATATATTTTAATAACATAAAATTAAACAAGTTCAACAAGTTTCTTAAAAATAATGGAACATGTTAATGTTTCTTTCTTTTTAAGAAACATGTAAAATTCAAAAAATATTTATAACATAAAAATATTTTCAAACTGCTACTTTTTGCGGCTTATTTAATCTTTTAATCTATTGTAAAAGCATGTACCAAATTCGTTAAGAAACATGGTGCAATGAAATTCTTTCATCTTCTACATTTTAAAAATATTTCATTTTGAAAAAAAAACTGTTCTTATAATCAATTTAATAAACACACATTTTAATTGTTTTACTTTCGGCTATATAAGCATTAATAATCAGACTAGAACAAAAATTAATGTTAGTAAAACAATTACCTAATTATTTTTTATAGTTTTAATTATTGTTATTCCCTTAGGCAAATTGACGCTTCAGTACTGTGTTTTTTTAACTAACAGATCTAATTATCAAAATGAGAGAATTTTCAAATGTTATTTTATCTATTTGAAGTGATAATAAAGCTAAGGAAAGAAATTATATTTTACGTTAATTAAATTTGTCCCTCCCTTATTTTTCTTCAAGATAATGATAAAATTAAAAAACTGTTTAAAAGGGTCAATGATTTTAAAAATTTTCAAACACAAACATTCAGCATTTTTAAAATAACCAGAGAATAGACATGTTAGACATCGTTAAGAACAAATATTCAAATTTGCTTAAAGTCTTGAATTTGATTAGATATAAAAAAAATTAACCAAGTTTATATTGTAGAAATAAAGCCAAATGATAAAAGAAGCACATATTCCATCAGCAAACAGTTTGCTGATCAAGGTCTTGAAATATGCGGAAATACCTAAATGTTCTAAATATTACGAAATTTTAGAATACGTTGAACTATAATATCGAACAAATTTGCTGCAACCTTAATACAATATCAAGTTGAACACTTTTTGAACTTAATTTAGTATGGTTCCATTTGACACTTCAAAAACGATATTATGGTTCTGCGTGATAACAATATGGTTGATTATTGAACCCAAATTTTGAGAGTGTACACTGCAGATTCATCAAAATTAGTGTAAATAATTGTGAGGATTTTTTTTCTATTTATAATTATTATTATTATTATTATTTTGATTTCCTACCAAATCATAGAATACAATTAATTCAGGAGAGATTTTAAGCAATTAAAAAAAATTTATATAAATTTTTATAACTGTCTTATAGCAATTTTTAGTGCTCTCTTCGAAAACTTTTTTTCAAGTTCTTTTGCTTTACGTTTGCATTTTATTTTGCTGCACAAAAACTACGAGGATGAGGAACTTTAAATCACAAAGGGATGTTGAAAAAATTACTGAGAGTCTGATGCAATAAAAAATTCTAAAATTCCACAATTAATTCTAGAATTATGAACTTGTAAACTAGTAATAAAAAATATTCTACAGTCCACTCTGCAGGGCACCTAGAGTTCAAATTTGACGGGCTGAAAGAGCAGTTTTCATTTATGAACTTAATACGTGCTTTTTTTGAAATTCCAATTTGCTTAAAAGTTATTGCAATTTCAAGTGCTTTTCTCACTTTTTGCTTTATGTAATAACTAGTTATCCGTTGTTGTAGACAATTTTATTTATCTTTATTTTATAAGCCATTGCTTTAATTTCCTCTGAAAATTAAGAAAAAATTGAATAAATGAAAAATATGAGAAAAATTAGATGTTGTCAGATATCAATCTTAATTTATATCTAAATTTTTAAAAAAAAAATTTATGAAGATAAAAACTCAATATAGATAAAAACTGTTTCCAATTCGAACTGTTTTTCCAGTTATCTTTGCATATTTTCAAGAAGTAAAATTTATTTATCGCTTATACACTCTGTATTCTTAAGGTTAAATTTTTATCTTTCAAGTACACAGTTGATTGAATACAAATCCAGAAAATTATTCATTTCGTTACGATTAGCGTATTAACACAATGTTCTGGCAAAAAAATAAAATAATTATGCATTTTATCAGTAAAAAGGTCCATATTTATTGAATAATATCAACCTTTAAGAAAGGAAAGGAAAAAAAAGGTTGGTGGTTGGGGAGAAGAGCGAGAAGGAGTTGGAGCCTCCTATTGAGGTAACTGCATGGCTTGGTAGGCTTATAACAAACAAAAAATTACCAATACATTAGCAAATTTTACTTTACCTGACAAAGAAACATCACAAGTTTTTTTTCTCTCAAAAATACAAAGCTTTGGTTTTGCGGCAAACTTCAAGACAAATTCTTGCCCCACTCTCTACAACAAGTACCAAATGCGGCTGCTATTCTTCGTCATTATTCTGTTAAATTACGCGGTATAGGGGCATAGGCACGTAATTTTTTCTTTAAGAAACCATTGGGAATTTACGTCTGGAGAGCAGGATGGCAATAAAAGAAGTTATAAGCCTTTCAAATCCCAGAAAGAATTGTGAGATACCCTGTCTTTATATTTTTGTCTAAATTTACAGCATACAGAGCTGAAATGGTCTGTAGTAGAACTGAATATGTAGTCGGTTTAAAAATAAAAAATTCAAATAACTTTTTACATTATAGTAATGTATAGTGAGGGGCATAACATGTGTTATGAGAACAATCATGTCACTTACTGACTATTACATCATCGTAATATATATGATCGCCATTGATATTCTACGAGAACAATCATGTCATTGATTATCTCATCACCGTGATATATACATGATTGACTATTGATGTGTCATGAGAATAATCATCTCACTTATTGTTATATCATTATAATATACACAGAAGAGCCATTACATTATGACCACCCTGCTAATAACATGTAGGACCACCTTTAGCCATCAAAACTGCTAGCACCCGCCGTGGCATTTATTCCACAATGTGCTGATAGGTAGTCTGAGGTATCTGGTACCAAGCGCTCACCAACTGGTCCTGCAATTCCCTCACATTGCGAGGAGGTAGCGTGGCAGCACGAATTTGGTTTTCCAAGTAGGACCACAAATGCTCTGTTGGATTAAGGTCAGGTGAATTTGGGGGCCAAGACATGACTTGAGAGTCACTGGAATGTTCCTCGAACCAATCCATAACGATTCGACCCTTATGACATGGTGCATTATCTTGTTGGTAAACACCATCCCCCGCAGGAAAAACTGTTGCCATGAATGGGTGAACCTGGTCTGCAAGTATGTTCAAGTAGCTTACATATGTCAGGGATTGTTCTATGAGGATTATGGGTCCTAATGTGCCCCATGAAAGCATTGTTTCTGGGCGAGCCCATTGTTATAGATGGAGGGTGGTCATAATGTAATGGCTCGTCGGGGTATATGATCGGCGATTAATATGTTACAAGAATATTCATATCACTGGCTATGGTTAAGCAAACTATATCATATACTTAATGATTTATTTCCTGACCGATTAACGACCTTTAAAAAGATTTTTTTCTTTGTTCTTAAGCCTATTCTCGAGAGTCCAGTTCCAGTTCACTCTACCCATTCAATATCAATGCCCGTCCTAGCTCCAGGGCCAGCAAATTCCTTTGCTGGACAGTTCCTCACACAAATAGCACCATCAGTTTTAACTGCATTCAATGGAAATGCCCTACACCAACCTTTATTAGCAGCGAGCAATACGCATCTAGGTCATCTTTATTCTGGGTGAGTATAATTTCTATTTTAAATATATTTCTAATCATTAAATTATATTAATTCGTTTTTGAGTTTATAAAGGTTGAATTTCGCAATCGAAATTCTTACAATTTTTTAGATAGCTGGAGTTATCGAATGTTTTCTAAATCTCCGTGTCTTACGACAATGCAAGATTCAATATCTTCCTGACCGCTACAAGAATAGTTTAATGTTGAATAAATAATCCCAAGAACTGAAGTGGGAAAATGACTTGATTAAAAAAACTTCATTCACTTCAAAAATATATAAATGAGAAATAACAGTCAACCAAAGTGACTTCTCATTTATTTTATTTACTTTACATCACTTTTGTTTCCTCTCATTCACGCCTGGGAAGTTTTGGAAATGGCGTCGCTTTTGAACCCTCGAAACATGTCGACTGTATATTCTAATTTATATATTTTTGAAGCGAATAAAGTTTTTTTTTTAAATCAAGTAAAATTTAATTTTACCTAATCGACAAATAAAATGTATTTTCCATTAAAATTCTACCTTTCTCAGACTGACATTGAGAATACTTTCAGAGTAAGAACAAATATCTCATATCGTCATTATATATCTAAATATTTATATATTTAAGTATATATTATGTATCTAAATATACAGGGTGTTCCAAAATTATCTTTACAACTTCAAAAATTCATAACTTCGAACATAAACAAGATATTTATATTCTGTCTTTTGCATGTATTACTGCAACTAATAAAGTTTTTTTTTTCAATAGGCTGAAAAGTTTTTAAGTGAGGATGTGGACACCACAACAGAAAGCTCAATGCGTCTCATGGCCGTATTCGTCTCATAGTTCATAGAGACGAAATCAGATACACAGGTGCAACGGAACTTCAGGACAAATTTCCAAAGAGACTCAATCCAATCCAGACCCTCCATCCGTGCATGGCACGCAAGCTTCATGAGCACCGGATCAGTATTGCATAAAAGTGGAGCCGAACGACCCAGCACAAGTCCAGAAAATGTGGAGCGAATACGGCCATGAAACGCATTGAGCTTTCTGTTGTGGTGTCCACATCCTCACTTAAAACTTTTCAGCCTATTGGAAAAAAAACTTTATTAGTTGCAGTAATACATGCAAAAGACAGAATTTAAATATCTTGTTTATGTTCGAAGTTATGAATTTTTGAAGTTGTAAAGATAATTTTGGAACACCCTGTATATTATATATCTTCATTATAAATCTAAATATACAAATTTTAAGGGATTTTTGGCAGTTGCAAAAAGAATTTACTGAAAAATAATCAAAGAAAATTTATCACCTGTCGAAATTTTTACAAACATTCCTACAATCTAAAATACTGTTTGGTTGATAATGAAAGTTTTAATCATTTCTGAACATCTACAAGCAGAATTTATTGTCTTAGTATCAACAATAATCCTGACCTCTTTTTAATGAAGCAGAACTTTCAAACTGCTAGTGATGCTAGTTACCTAACGAAAATACAAATTTTTATCGTTTCTTTGTCGTTAAACAAATAATTTATCCCTTAAAAAAGTTATCATTAATCGAAAATTTATCAGTTTTCAACTGACTGAAATGCTCCGTTTTTGTCTGAAGGTCTGTGCTAATTGGCAACAAAAGTTTTAAATATTTCTTGGTCGCTACACGAATAACTAATCTCTTAAAAATTTATCATTAATCGAAAATTTATCAGTTTTCAACTAACTAAAATACTCCATTTGTGTCTGAAGGTCTGTGCTAATTGGCAACAAAATTTTCAATTATTTTTTTGTCACTATAAGCAGTACTTATAAGCATGGTAACACTAAAAGGAATTTAGCGTCAATCAAAACTTCGACCTCTGTTCGACTATCTAGGGAGTTTATAATTATTAAAAACTCTGGGCTAGATAGAGATACCACAAGTTTTAGCTGTTTTTTGACCACTTGAATAAAATGTTTTTACCAAATCGAATTATCGTGAGTTGAAATTTCAGCTACTCATTGACTAGGTAGTGCTAGGTCGTTTAAATTACGATATCTTTAATATAACGTTATTGTAATATATGAATTTTGAATTTTAGTTATCACTTTCTGAACTACTGGATTCGCGACAATACCATCTTAAATCCGTATAATTTTCGGATCGTTTTTTACTTCTTTTTGTGTGGCTTTATTAAATTTTTACTTGCTCACGACGCACAATAGTATTAAGACGCCCGAATTTCGGATTTGAGTAACAATTATTTACTTAGGATTTACTGGAAAATCACTTTTTGGCAAGCCTTACTCCATCGTAATTTTCTGTTTTATGATTATTTTTTTCTGTCACTTCCTCTTATTTTTTTCTAATTTCGCTATTTTTAATGCGAATATTTTAAGTGCAAGGTATAAAATAATATCTGTATGTACCTTAAAATAATATTACGATATTATTATAAGGTATTACTTTTGGATGCGATTTATTTCCTATTATTAATCTATATAGATTTTTTATCAACCCTTTCAACACGGTATTTCCATTAATTAATACGTTCTTATTATAGCAAGTGAATTTTGTTAATTTCGTATAATATTAACTTTTGATGAGTACAATGCAGTGGAAGAAAAAACTCTCCCAAATAAGCAAGTTAATTAACATTTAGATAAAAAAACGAAAATTGCTTGCCGTTTTGGAGCAAAACAAACTGAGTTTTGCGAACAAATGTGGCACCAAATGAGGCCAAAGTTGCACTTATAGTTTGACTAATGTTAATAGAGTTTGAAACATTTTGGAACAATTTTTGGGCAAATGGTATTTTGGAGCAGTATGGAGCAGAAATTTCATTTTGGAGCTATTTGAGCAGCTGCTCTAACGCAGAAACTTTAAAAAAATTAATATGATATCACTTAATATTTTAATTATTAAAGTCCTATACATTGGTAAGTGTCTCAGGCACAAATAAAAAAATTAAAAGATAAAAAAACTTGTTGGCAAGTTTTTTATTTTAATCATCATTACAGTTAACTTCATACCATAACAATATCAAACTTGTATACGAGGTGTTTTGATATGCGCATATTTAATAAATATCTTAGATTCCCAGTAAAAAATTAACAAATTTCACTATTTATGAATTTCATTTGTGTAATAGAAATAGAAATAAATGTATGATAACAGGCATAACATTTATATCTGAACAACTGTGTTTAGTTATACAAAAACCTATATTTTAATTAATTATTTCAGAATGTAATTAAGATTATTTCATACAATGAAAAAATAAGATCAAGTACACGGAGAAAGAGATCCTGGTAAAATTACAGCACTATATGGTGATGGCATTTCTGGTGGGGGGGGGGACCTATACTTCTGGTAATGAAAATCAAAATACATAGTATTTAAACTATACATTTGGTAATTTTTCCGCTCATATGGTTACTGTCTACTGGAAAGTTCCTGAATTATAGTTCTTATTACCACACATTTAGTAAAAAATACAAAACTGGAAAGTAAATTTAAACAAATAAATGATTTTTCTGCCGTGCCTAAGGTATTAAAAAAAGCAATTATCATAAGGTATTACCAAATTTTATCACGATTACTAAATTTTTATTCTCATAATTTAAGACCATCTTTTATTGTTAATTTTACTTAAATCATTAGCAAAGTGCTTCTGTAAAAATTAACCAAGCTTTTTTAAATTCTCATGGAGCCAGAAGCATGGTAAATCTTATCGTATTCTGGTAGTCTTGACCATATTTTTTTTAAAGTGTAGAATTCTTTGTTTCTGGAAAGTAATTCTGAAAAAAGAAATTCGTTTTATATTTTTAACAGATTTATTTTTAGTACTTTTCAACTCATTTCTTCAGAATACTTTTTTCTTACATGATGTCCTCCTATAGTTTTAATATTTTTTGTACTTTAAATTGCCTAGTGACTCAAGTGCTATAAAGAAAAGTCATGCAAACTTTCTAACATTTTCAAGAAAAAATATTTCTCAGGTGGTGCAAGTGAAACAGAATAAGGAAAACGAACCCCTTTCAATCATTTTTAGTTTTCCCAGAAACTACAAATATGTGACTGCTTTTAAATAAAGTCCTACAATTTCGAAGATTGAATACAAACCGAAATATTTAATAATGCTCATAATAATATTTTTAATTTATCATTTCCTTATTTTGTATTATAATAACTATTGTACTAGATTTTAGCAACTTTAATGCTCCATGTACCTACTATGTAATTTAATGACAACTAAAATACTTTTTTATAGATAGTTACACTCTTTATTAAAAGAAATGTAATTTTTATTTGTTTCTTTTACTTTCAGAAGCGAAGAATATATCTACGATAGTTTAACAAATCCCGTTTCCTCGACGACAAACAATAAAAAACGGAAATTAACTGATTCCCCGAAATCGCAACGGAATCAGCAAAGCAATAATGGAGTACAAGTCAAAACAGAACCTAGTAAGTAATTTAAAAACTCATTATATTTCGATCAGATGGAGTTGAAAAACATAAATTATTACAAGATTCCATTATTCCAAAGGAATCAATCGAAACCAGTATCTTTTTATATATATATATATATATATATATATCAATNTCAACTCTATTTCGCAAATATATATATAAAATCGAAAACAAAAAACTTTTTATTCTTTATTTCTTAACACAAAAATGTTTCAGTTACATGGTTATAATAATTCTCACAATCTTTTTGGTGATTTGCTTTCGACAAATTATTTTCAAATTTAATATTGATTATGGGGGGTTGGCTTTATTTTTGGCTATGTTATCTTTCCATGATTCGCCAATCTCGGATCTCTTCCCATGCTCCTAACTGTCCGTTGGAAACAATTCCTTCTCTTTTAATTTGGAATCCTTGGTGAAAAGATTAAGAGGCCCCTTGAGGCCTTCCTGTCCCAACCGTTGAATAATCTTAACAAAAATTCGCGATATGAAGAGGAAGATTTTTTTTATCCCCTTATAGGACGTTTTTTTCCTTATTTTCATATTTTTGAATGTGGCCATAATTCAAAAATATAAAATATACGAATATAAAGCAAATAAGTTATTAAATTCCTGCGAATTCCTATCGAGATCAATCTAAGTGAAGAGGAAATTGAAAAATTCGCACCCAGTTTTATTATTAAATGACACTGTCATGCAGTAAAAAGATTATTATTAAATCATTAAAACTACCTTTCAGTTTCATTCGACGTTTAAGCTTGCTTTGAAGCTCTTAACTCGCCATCACTATGATAGTCTAAGATAATGTTTCGTCAGATTTTAATTATGTTTTTATTTTTTTCCTGCATAGATATTATTTTGAAGCTTATAATGTGTATATTATTATTTTGTTTCACTTGTGAAGCATTTTCTAAAATGAATTGAAGGAATTGTAATTATGAAATTATCTGTATATTTTTTTTATTAATTCATGATTATTTAAAAAACTTTTAATTTTAGACGTACCCTCTCCTGATCCAACACCTGCTGGACTGCCGTCTAGTGAAGATGATTACGGCTTCGATTTAAGCGCAGCTGAAACTAATGCCATGTTTGTAGATTCCAGCTTCCAATGCATACGGTTTCAACCTTTCCAACAAAACACGTGGGCACAGTTACTAGACAAAGATTTAAAAGAAATGTAATTAAATTGAAATGTATAATTATCACAACCAATATTTATATCATTTTTAATGTAATGAAAAAAATTGCTAAAAAATGTCGTGTTTATTAGCCGCAAAAATAATTTTATCATTCTTATGCTTGCCATATTTGCAGTTGATTAGTTAAAATAATATTGTCATATTTGCAATTAATTAAACAGTGTTTAATTACAGTTTAATTGATAGCTATAATTAATAAATAACAGATACTTCTTATTAACTGTTATAACTGTTAATTTTATACTTTCTATATACTTTTTTTTAATACTGTATAAAAATACCACAATTTCTTTTTAAAATTAAAATTAAACTGGACCTGTTTCAAAGTGAACTTGAAATATTTCTTGATAAGTAATGGTTAAAATGGTCAAATTAAGAGGTATTTTTATGATTATTATTCATTTTATGTACCGGACCTTTCTAATAATTCATGCCTTTTTTTTCTTTTTACTTCCAATGTATGATTTCTAATTACTTTCAATGTTACAAGGATTTTAAAAATATAAACTAAGAGCGGAGATTTTGGTGACATTTTTTAATGACAGAAATATATTTCAAAATAACAAATTGTAATTATAAAAAATTGAAAAAAGATAATAAAATTCGAATCAAATTATTGCCCATATTACTAATGTTGCTGAATCGTAATAATTGTAATAATATAATTATAATACTGAAAATTGTACTTAAAAATGAATGAAAATTGTACTAATGCAATTTTAATGTTGAAAATTGTACTTATATGAAAGTCTGTTAATTCGATCCTCAGATTCCATCACGATGTTTCTTTAAAACGTAGTTATTTAGAAATCATAGTTTTATAGTTTTTATCCGTCAGCAGTGCTATCTGGCGGCAAACTTTATAACCAAATTTAAAGCTTTGAATAAATTATCTAGATTTCTTAGCAAAGCATACAACCGTATATTCTATTATCCTCCTTTTTTCTTTTAGTCATTTTAAAAATCTTCGCTCATTTGTAGGACATCCAATAACATGATTATTTCTCTTTTTACCTGAGATTATTTTGTAACTTATTTTTAATATAATTGGTTTTAATTAAAGATTTTTATAACATATTATCGTAACGTTTAAAAATGTAATTTTTGGAGCCCATTTCCAGTTCTTGATGAGACAATTGAGACTAAACATTGGCCATATTACTGTTTAGTTCATTAACCGGTTACGGCACCGAAACAATCTTAAAGATATGATAAAATTATTCAATTTTACAATTTTTGTTTATTTAAAAATGTTCGAATATTTTTCCTTAGCCCTTCTCCAAACTTCCGAGTAGATGCAGACAAGGGTTTTAATTTCAGCAACGCAGATGAATCCTTTGTATGCCAAAAAAAGAACCATTTCCAAGTGACAGTACACATCCAGCCATTGGGAGTTGCCCATTTTGTGAGAACTCCGGAAGGGAATAAGCTCATTGAGAAATTTTCTCTCAATTTCCATGGAGTAAAGGTAAATTTTCGAATAACTGCTTAGAATTATCTTTTTTTAGTTTTACTTTATATATANGCCATATATATATATATATATATATATATATACTTTGTAGGCCATTTATCAGTGTCATTTTAAAAATGAAATAAAACAAACACAAATTAACAAATTAATGTTATTGTTGCAATGGCCAGATATCGATGATATGTTCGTTGTATTTTATCATTGCGATCGTTGACAAAATACAATTTTATTTAGGTAAGCTGCCCTGGATAGCCAAAGAGTAACTCATCCTGTGAATCCAGTTTCTCAGTACATTTTTAATGAATTTCAACTCTATTTCGCAAACAGCTTCAATATTATGGTTAACTCGTTGAATGCCACGCTAATTTTACATGGCTTGCCCGTCTGGCCATGGTTAATAACTACGGTAAATAACTACAAACTAAATTTGCAAACAGATTTTGCTAGTTTTTTAAAAGGCTTGGCATGACATATCTGAAAAAAGTGGCGGATATCTGCTAAATCTACTAAATAGTCTTGGCTTCGACGGTCACCGGTGACCCACGTGGTGCTACGAACAAACTCAGTGCCTGTCACCGATGACCCCCATGGCATTCAACGTGTTAACCCTTTAACGATCAGTTAATTTTCAAGAAAACGGTCATTAAAGTGCCTATTTTGCCAAATACATGTATTTGATTAGTGCTGACATCTAGTTCAAAGTAAACTATCTACAATTACCTTAAAAATATCCTGGTACTGCCATCTGGTGTGTTAAATGAGAAATAAAATGTTTTCCGGGTAAAAGAAATGAATTAGTTTTATTCTTATTGGCGCGTTACTACTGCACACTCCAGCCCGGAAATTTCACGGGAGCGAGAAATAGAGGGTAAAACCTCACCCCATCATTTTCACGGGAGCGAGAAGGAAGGGGTTAAGGAAGTAAGGAATTTAATAGTTGGAGAATTACACGCATAGCCTTAGCCTTTAACGGACAGATGCCACCATATAAGCGGCATGGCACTTTCATTTACTCGGTCAAAATACCAAGTGATAGGATGAAAAATCATCATATTATTTTTATCATTCTTATACTTGTCAAAATTACAGATAATCAACTTACATACAATTATAAATTTATAATTAATATTATCATTAATTACTAAAATTATACCTAGTAGAATGTAAACTTGAAATACTTCTGAAACGTTAACAGTTACTATTTCATGGCACCCCACAAGAAAAAGTTGAATCGTGTTAAACCTCAGCCACTGATTGTGTGATCGTGTGATCAACTGTTCACCAAAACAGTTGATCACACGACTACCAATTTTAGAGTGCAAAAGGTCGAATTCTTAAATATTGCAATGGAATCGCTCAATTTTATTCATTATTAGCAAAACCATATTTTTCACGTTTAATCAAAGTGACTCGATCGAAATATCTAACTGCAGCCAGTTTTGGTTGAACATTTTTTCCAATATAGCTTATTTTTGCAACGCCATCTTTATATCAAAAGAATATTGAATAGTTGACATGTGCTGCAACGCAATATGCGTGATGCTTCACCTTTTCAGTGTATGCAAATAAAAACAATCTGAAAATATTGTTAAATATTTATTTGTATTATAATTTTATATTTTATAAATGCCATGCGTATTATTCAAATTATTCATTGTTCAAATTTCGATTCCGTTTGGACCAATAGAACACATTCTTGGGACTCATGAGAGAAATTCTAACCACACATTATGAGAATTCTACGTAATGTTTCACAATTTGGCCACTAACTTGAAAAGTTAAGGCATATCAGCTTGATCAATAAATCATTCTAAAACAACTACTTTTGATCAATTTTAAAGCAGTTTTTTACTGTAATTTTTAGAGAAAAGCAAACATTATTTGATAAATAAAAGTACCAGTTCAAAAGCGTAAGAACAGGCGGTTCACAATAGGGACACCCCCCTCCCTATCTGCATATGATGACATCTCCGGCCATAAGTAAATAAGCAATTCTCAATCCTTACTGTCCCCTGCTTCCCTACAAATTTCTAACAGTTGTGCTGGTAAATATGTAATTATTAAAAAAAATTGCCCTTTAGTTTTAAGCAGTTATATATTTATGCAATAGCAAATGAAACATTTAAGATGCCTTAAACGTTATTCGTTTATTAATTTTATCTTTTATTTTCGAATGCTTGAATTTGAGAATTGTTTTCCCTATTCTTTCCGCTTTAACTGTACCTCGCGAATTCAAAATTACGAAATTACAGTAATAATTTTTTAATATGTATTATTTTTTCAGAGTGAAATACTTAATTTTATGAATGATGAAATTTTAAATGTATTTTTGGGGATGGGAGTTTGTGTCTTTTGCACAATGCATGCAACTTTCTAATTTCTAAATTCACAATTACAGATGGAATCTCCAACGCAAACGATAAAAGTAGAACAATCTCAATCCGACAGAAGTAAAAGACCTTTCAATCCAGTTCCGTGAGTATTCATGCGTCCAATAAATATATAGAATTATTTTTCACTATTTAGAATAATTTAAAACAAAATTATTATTTTAAAAAACATGCTGTGGCTAGTTTGATGTCAACTGTTTAAGATGCATCGTTTTCAGTTTTTCTCTTTGTTCATTAAATATTATTTACACATCTATGTATTATAAAATGACTTATTTATGTTTAAATTTTACGTTTGAAATTTTGCAATTTCTTCATTGAATGATAATGACAACCATCGTGCATGAATAAAATTTTCAACAGTCTAGATTTTTTTGTTATTTAAGCTTTTTTTCGATTTAAGTCATTTTTCAATTCAAGTCATTAGCTAATTTAAGAGCATTTTTATTAAAGATTTATTAATTGTTGTAAAACTTGAGTTAATAACAAGGACTAATAATTAGACATAAACTTAATATGCATGAAAGTTCTCCGAAACATAACTGTTAAAAGCAAATGAATTAAGCAGTGTGGCTTAATTAAGTTACCCCTCAATACGGAGTAATTAAATCCAGCAACAGGAATTTAATAGCAGACTTATATTGATTGGTGATGGTGTATCAAAAGGTTAAAATAAAAGCACGCATCCTGTTTAAAACATGGAAAAAATATTAGTTAAAAGTATTCTTTTTCTTCTCTTTATTTCAAGAAGTTTAGCGTTTGAGTAAAATTAAATACCAAACGCGTCGTAACATTTATCTTTTTATTTTATGTGTTTCCAATAGTTCTACAACGATTTATACTGCTTCGAGCATTAAGAATTTAAATTTTTAAAAATTGAAATAGCTTTTCTTTAGAATCGGACAAAACTTGTTTTTTTTTGCGTATTTTGGCGATAAATATGCAATAACTAACGAAAGTAATCTTGTAATTTGAATGAATTCAGAGTTTTCTAGAATAGAGATATTCAAGCTAGAAGCTGAACTACATCACAGAGTGGAATAAATCAATCAATTGTCGTTTGCACCATTTCTATTGGACGATTTATATTTTCGTCCCAAAAGAAACGTATTCTTACTGGTGGCTATATGCAACTGATTGATCATTGATGGATTGTAAGTGGACAGGTAATCGAAGTTACGTCAACTTAAGCATCTCCATAGAAAATCTCTTAGACATTTCTATAGAAAATTGTTTTAAATTTCTAAGAAACCATTTAAATCAAATTACCTAATAACGAAATCAATAGCACTTTTTTTAATACTTATATGAAAACATTACTTGAAAGTACCTTTTTTTAGCATGGTGGCTCACATCAGTTTTATGAAGAAAGTTTGGTAATATTTGTTTCCTCTTACAGAAAGCTACAATGAATGTTGTAGCATAAAAAAAAATGGAAATGAAGTAAAACATACCATAACATTATTATTTGAGGTTATATTTTGAAGTGTTTAGGAAGAGTTCGGCTTAAAAAATGCCATCTCAGAGATTAAAGAAACTTATAAATTTCAGATGAAACGCAGGATTGAAAAACTTAAAGCCAATCTGATTGCTGGAGGAAAGAGAGTAATTAAATATCAATGATTCGAAACACCTTTAAGTTTTAAACGGCATTCAAACTGGTTTTGATTTTTCCAACCCATCTTCCTCACTTGTAATTCGTCAGATTTCGATACCATTTTTGCTTCTTTTTTCTTAAAAATTAATTGATAACACCTAGCAAGCATACTTTTTGATTTGATTTTTGACGAGGTAGTCACGATGTAGAAAAATTATGTGCCTGTAGTTTGGTAGAAAACTTATCTTGCTGACGCTAGTTTTTACTTTTTCTATTCTTCTTTCAAAGTAAAAGAGCTTTTTTCTTATCACTCCAGTGCGCGAATTTAAATTTTTACGCGTTATCTTACGAGGGTTGAAAATTAAATAGTGGCAACTTAACCTTGAAACTCACAGAAGGGCGGGCATGCGCAAATAGGATATGGGAGCGGTGAGGTGGCGCTGTTGTCGATGTGTAGAGTGCAAAAAACAGTCGATTTGCTTAGAAGGGTAGTTGTTACGTGGCGTTAAAGTGAGGAGTTTCGTTTCCATCGCTCTAAAGCATGTTTTCAAAAGGTGATCAGCGGTCGTGGCTTAAAATCGAGGTTGTCCGTGGCAAAAATGCAACAGAATGCTATCGTGGATGAGTGGAAGCCTGTGGCGCAAATGCTTTACCCTATAGGACAGTAGCACGATGGGTTCAAGCATCTCTTCTTTTTTCGTCATTAAGCCTTTTGACAACATGCTTTAGAGCGATGGAAACGAAACTCCTCACTTTAACGCCACGTAACAACTACCCTTCTAAGCAAATCGACTGTTTTTTGCACTCTACACATCGACAACAGCGCCACCTCACAGCACCCATACCCTATTTGCGCATGCCCGCCCTTCTGTGAGTTTCAAGGTTAAGTTGCCACTATTTAATTTACAACCCTCGTATAACAGGCTTTACTTAAAATAATTCTATTATGTAAGAGTTTAATATTTTTATTAATTTTTTTATAATAATTATTTTTTAAAAAATTTTATTATAATTAGTAGGAATTTTTACATCGTACTAAATAATACACTTTTAACTATAATAATTCAGTCTTGAAATAAATAAATTGAATACTTCTAAAATATTTTTTAAAAAATTTTGAAAGTAAAGGTAAAATTTACTATGTATTACGAATTTTTAAGAAGTTGAAGTAAATGGCACATAATCTAACTTGCAATTTTGATATAAATCAATGTTTTTTGTATGTAAAAAGTTTTAAATCCAAATGTGTATTTTTTGCATGGTATAATTGAAAACGGGATACATCAAATCACGTGACCCTTTTCCAGTCATCTACTGTCCAATCCTTATGCTCCTTTGCAAACTGGAGACGTCTGCTCTTGTTCAAGGCTGACAGCAGAAGCTTTCGAACAGGGCGTGGCACCCATAGTCTTTACGGGTATAATGTGCGGCACATAGTTCATTTAGAGGCATTAGTAGTTGCACCTTCATTAAGATTATCCTCTCGAACTATCATCAAGTCAAAATTTATACAATTTGATTGCAGATTTCTCATTGTAACATTAATTGCTCTTTCAGACTGGAACTTATACCTGAACAAGTGACAAAAACAACAGTTGGAAGGCTTCATTTTAGTGAGACGACTTCCAATAATATGAGAAAGAAAGGCAAGCCGAATCCGGATCAAAGGTTCTTCTTTCTTGTGGTTAGCCTCTGTGCCCACGTAGCTGATGATGTACCTGCGACAATCATTGCCCACTCGTCAGAGAAAATTATTGTCAGGGTATGTTATGTATGTTAAACATATTTTTAATCAGTAGGGTTTAAGTTACTAAGTAATCAGTTATTTGCGTTGTTAGATTTTACCTAACATGAAATGCCACGTGAATAGTTATATTCTGTTTGTCAACAACGTTGTTATAAGTACTCAGATTGGCATCAATGCAAATGTTATGGGTTCGGAATTTTTGAGTACCATGTAAAAATCAATGCTCTAATAAACAAAACTGTGTAGTGTACGCATATGAAATTATTTTCTTAAGTTGGTCAAAAACAACAAGTTTTTCTTATTTCAAATATAGATGGATTAAATATTGATTAAAACGTCAATACCATTATTAACCGTTAACTTCAAAATTTCATTTCCTATTTCAGTTCTAATTTCGTCAAGTGTTCAAATTTGATTCAATAGTTTTGCAATATTAAAATTTCATGAGTTCAATTAGTTTCTGAACTCCAAATTCTAACTCCATTGCCAAATGTCCATGTCACATTTTTTGCATAACTTATATTTTGTACTTGAAAACTTAATTTACTGTATAAAGTTTTAGAGAATGAAAATTGAATATAATTTCACAAGACTTCTTTATTTTTCAGGCTTCTAATCCAGGTCAATTTGAAAATGATATGGAATTATCATGGCAAAAAGGACATACTCTAGATTCTATATTCCATAATGTAAGTTATATAATTAATTAATTCTTAAGAATCAAATATAGTTTGAGATGCTCAAAATAATAAGCGCAGATCTCAATCAAACATAAGAACAAAAATTTTTTGGTATACTACAGCAAGTTCCTACAAAATAAAGCCATGTTGATTTTTTGTATACAAAGAAAAAGTTATGAGAGCCAAACTAATTTATTAAGAAAGTCTATATCTAAGCATATATGTTCCAGAAGTAACTCACTTTTTGGTCCATCAGCACATGAAAAAAGCATAGAATAAGTAAAAAGAGGTAAAATGTGTCCCATCGAAATGAAGCCACTGCTGTTTGCAGCCAAAATATCAACCATATTTTTATCTGACTTAAAATATGTCATATTGCGTCCCATTTACCAACTCAGGAGGACAATAAGATCAATATTATGTCAAGTTTCTAAGATGTCAGCTTTCTATTCTGGCACAGACTGAAACTTTTTATTTTTTCGTATACAATCTTACTGGGGATAGCCTTTCTCGTTTTTGGGGGGATTGTGGTCATAAGATTCAGATAAGATGAGGGAGACGAGTCAAATTTCTACTCTGTTGCTGCATTTCCGCTGGCTTTTGATACCTCGCATGGTATTTGACTAGAAGTATAGCGGTTGATAATTCTCGAACTAATAATCGATTGTTACATTCTTTTGGGGTCATTCGTACTCTCTCTACATTTTTCTACACAGCTAAGTAATTTCTTACAATTTGATAGTTTTTCTTCAGCAAAGCAAAATGTAACTCAACACTTACAATACTTTAATATAGAGAAATCAACATTAATAAGTTTTGAATCAGGGGATAGAGGAGTCGTTTCTCAATAAAATGTCCCAAGTTCAAATCCCAGGGATGGCTGCTGGTTGACCATAATGATGATTTAAAAATATCCTCAGTGGTTGACGGCTAATGGGTTGGAATCCACTTGTTATAGGGATATCCGTGGGAGATTTCCTCATGTAACGTGAATGTGGATTCTCTCCGTCCAAGAAGGCTAGTTTGCCCCAATGCTTGATTAAAGAGTTCTCTTTTCCTCTAGGCTAGGTAAAAAATTAGAAGGCTACAGAGTTGAACATAGATAGTCGCGGACTCAAAAATGGGTCGACTGTTCAACAGTGGTTATAAAATAAAATTCATGTCATAAAAACTTCTGCAGTTTACAATTTTTTTTTTCGAAATGGAATTTTATAAGGATTTTTAATTACTATTCTGAGCGTCTATATTTGAGTATTTTTCATGATGTATAAAATTTCGTTTTTATGTATCATAAAAAAATATTTCTTTGTTTGGAAAAGGGCTACTATATTTTTATGAAAATACAATTTTATATTTTTTCTTTTAGGGAAGAGTAGGTATTAATACAGACAGACCGGAAGAATCTCTCGTTGTCCACGGCAATATAAAAGTAACGGGGCACATACTACAGCCATCAGATATTCGAGCGAAATTCGGCTTGCATGAGGTAGTGCAACTTACACGTCTCTTGACCATTTTAATTTCAGAGCAACTAATACAAATTCCTTCCAATGAACATAAATATTATTTTTTTGCAGCTGGATACAAAAGAACAACTTAAAAATGTTGCCAATCTTAGAATTGTCAGGTATCGCTACTTACCAGAATTTGGGGATCGCATGGGGCTGAAGCAGCTATCAGATACCGGTGTCATTGCTCAAGAAGTGCAGCATGTCTTGCCAGATGCCGTCATTGAAGCTGGGGATGTGCTTCTAAAAGATGGGCAGCTTATTGAGAAACTGCTAGTTGTAAATAAGGTAAAATTTTTCGCTTACAAGAACAAAAATTACAAGACTTCATAAGCTTACAAAATTTAAATGAACTTTTATGTGCACATAAATATTAACATTACATTACAACTAAGTGAAAGCAAAGTAGTATGATCTGCAATAAAATTATGATAGTTTACTTTGAAAGGCATGGTAGAAATTATTTTAATTTTATTTTATTTTAATAGTTGGCTGAATATAGCTTTAGAGGACCCAAAATCTGTTGTACGACTCCAAAGCAAACGGTTATTAAGCGATTAATGCAATGAAATCAAACGGCGCAGTCTATATTTAAAAGAAAAGATCACAAAAGTTTCTCATATAAGCTTGTAAAACCAAAAGAGGCAGCATTGATTTTAAACATTTGATCAGAAAAATTTATAAATCATCATTAAAAAGCAATTTAAAAATTAAGACAATTAATAAATCGTAAGTTCGTTCGTCTTATAGAACTCTTCAAACAAAAGATCCTTTTTAAGTTTTCAAAATTCATAAATAATTTTTTTTTCAAAATTAGGGAATTTCATCAGATTAGCGGAATTCAGTTGATGAATTCAATTCAACCACACAGCCACAATATTATATAAGTTAATTAGTAAATAAAACTAGTAATAGCTAACCACCTAGGATGTTATAAAATGGCGGCATACTATTTCAGTTGGCAGTAATCGTTTGGATTGGTTATTTAACGCACGTGACTAACAACAACTGACTTCCCAGCACTTCATTTATCGTTACAATATAAAATATTATACATAGCATTTTAATAATGTATGGTTTTGAAATATATCATGAAGAGTCGGTGTCTTTTTCTCGTTAAAGGAAAAATCATCCAAATAAAATTTTCAAATTTTAATTTTCAATTTTTTAGATCTAAGCGAAACAGTTATTCATCATATTGAAATTTCTTTAATTTACGAAATCAATTATTGATAAATTTTTGAATATGAATGAAAAAAATTCAATTCATATATTTTAAAAAAAATAATTAAAACGTGAGAACATTATGTTTTTATGGAAATCTTTTATGAAAGTTACATGAATATAGACTTTTACGCTCTCAATTATTTATTATACTTTTATGCATTCCAGAAAATTAAGGCATGAATATGGACTTCAAAAAGAATTTTAAAGAATTATAACTATATTTCTGCGTAAATCGCTCAATAAAGTTAAAGAATATACGTTTTACGAAAATCTCTCAAGAAAGTTAAAGGATAGGCGTTTTATGAAAACCTCTCAAGGAAGTTAATGCATAGACGTTTTATGTAAATCTCAAAAGGAAGTTAAAGCATGGGCATAAACTTTTATACTTTTAATTTTTCATGTATTCAGAAAAATTAAGGCATGAACATAGATTTTTAAAAAAATTTAAAGCGTGATAACTATATTTCTACGGAAATCGTTTACTAAAGTTAAAGCTTAGATGTTTTACGAAAATCTCTAAAGGAAGTTAAAGCATTGGAATAGACTTTTATGATTTCAATTATTTAATAATTATATATTATAATATAATATATATTATACATATAATATAAATATTTGGTAATTTGCTCTTATGTATTCTGGGAAATTAAAGCATAAATATAGACTTCAAAAAGAATTTAAAGCGGGATAACTATATTTCTACTGAAATCGTTCTCTAAAGTTAAAGCATAGACATTATCTAGCAAGAGAGTTAAAGCATGGGTATAGACTTCTATGCTTTTAATTATATAATCTCATATTTTTATGCTTTCCAAGAAATTAAGACATGTACATAGACTCCAAAAAGAGTTTTAAAGAGAGATAACTATATTTCTATGAAAATCGTTCACTAAAGTTAAAGCATGACGGAGTCTAAAAATATGAATAGGTTTGAATTTTAAGGAAATAAAATCTGTATCGTGACAATTTTGAAACCAAAAATATCAGGAAAATAGAATATATTTTGTTAGCATATAATAAATCGAATTTTAACAAGTTTGTTCATTCATGCATCTTAAAATTATGTTTACAGGAGCGTATATTCATGGAAAATGTTGGAGCAGTCAAAGAATTGTGTAAAGTAACTGATAACTTGGAGAACAGGATTGGTGAATTAGAAAGAATCAACAAAAAACTGCACAAGATAAAGAGAAAAGACAGTCTCAAATCCACGTCTACAGATATCAGGTGAGAGTTCAGTACTTTAAATCTCTCTCTATCTATCTTTCTTATTTCTATCTTTCTACCCTACCTCATTATTTCTGTTTATCTCTATCTATCTATATAACTCTCTATATCTCAATATCTCATTATATCTCAATACATTTGTATATCTCAATATATCTGTATATCACAATGTATCTCTATATCTCATTATATCTCAATACATCTGCATATCTCAATATATCTGTATATCACAATATATCTCTATATTTTTATCTCTCTCTATCTATCTATCTATCTATCTATCTATCTATCTATCTATCTATCTATCTATCTAATCCAACTATCTCTTTATATATTTATATCTTTATATATTTATATCTTTATTTAAATATCTATATCTCCATATATCAATTGATATCGGTCCATAGCGCTGTATCTCTCTTACTCTCACTGTCACTCTCTCTTTCTAAATAAAGTAGTACAGTTGAGCTCATTTATTACGAGATTATGGCTCTGGTGTAACGAACAATTCACTCATTAGATCATAGTACTAGATAGACCCGAGTCGAGTTGATATAAATATTGAGAGTTGATATAAATATAAACTATAATGTGCAAGAATATTTATAAACGGTTAACTTTTAAAAATTATTTTATTTACTAAGATTGGAATTACGATAAGTGATTAGACCTTGGCAGTTTTCGACATACAACACGCATGACACGAAGAACATCATTATAGTACAAATTCATTCCAAAAAAATGCGTGAAGTTTCTCGAAAACTCTACCTTGGAATGGGGGTAGTGGTGGTCCAATCACTGTCTTCCAATCACTGTCAGATTCTGCCTTTTACGAACATTTTATCAAGTGCAGCTCGAGATACATACGAAATAACATTCAAAGATTTGAATGGCAATGTCTTATGTTAGTTACTGCATTTGTGTGATTTATGACAAGGCATACACTGTAAAAAATTCAGAATCAAACTGCAATTGGCTTAAAGTACCGGCACTTTGGTTGCATCATCCGTAAAATCCTTGTTAGCGTAAAATTCATTTTGACCGTAAAATATTATACCGTAATTCTTATGGTATAATATTTTTTGTTCCTTAATGGATTCCAATAAAAATAGATTTTACAGTAAAAATTAACCGCAGCCCGAGTGCCAGTACATTTTACCGTAATTTGATCCACGATTTTTTACAACGAAGAAGTAATTTCATTTTGATTCTCTTTCTTTTTATCCACAGGCAGTGTTTGAACAAAATTAACTAAGTGCTTTTAAATCTTTTACAAGAGGTGAAATTTAATCGAACAGTTTAACAATGACAGCTTCAATTTTCATTATGTTTAGGAAATATATATCGTTATATCCAAGTAACACTCATAATAGCAATGTTTTATATAGGCCCTTTTAATATCAACTATTCCTTAAAAATGTACTCATTGAAGCCGGGATCTCTTTACACCGGGATCGTAATTAGAGAGTTAGACTGAATTTACAAAATCCAATCACTATGTGGTGATATAAATGTTTGTATTCATATCAACATTCATTCATATCATGAATGTTTGGATTAATTATTTTTATTTTTCAAACGCAGTCGCATGAGCAGCGTGGTGTCTCATGGAAAACAAAGATGTCGCCATACTTACAACAAGCAATATCCTAACGGTCACAAAGCATCATGTACCAGTCATTTCATTCAATCCTCAATCATCGTTCTCGTAGTCATCATGGCCTGCTGGTAAGTTTATTCAAATTACCACATTTTCATAATCATTTCTATGAAAAATTTAATTAATATTTCAATTAATTTTGTGAAACAGAAACATTTCTGCTTGTTTAACTCTATTTATGCCATAATTTTGTACTCTCTTGTTTTATCACTTAAAAACAAGAAAAAGAAGATGGATCCAAACGTACGTTACAACTGTTGCCAGCGAAAAAATACATTAACAAAAGTTACAGACGTATTATTTCCATTCCGTTCATAGAAACATCTGGGAACAATTGTGTATTTTTTAATACTAGGAGGCTTCGCCCCCTGCTCCCTGGCGCTCGCCAACCCCCGGAACTGCTTTCGCAGTTCATTTCGGAATGCTTCGCATTCCAATGCTCGCTTTGCTCGCTCATTGGATACGTTCTTAGCGTCTAGCTTTTGTATACTTCTTTGAATACTGAAGTTCCGAAAACTTTTCACTTTAGAAAATTCTAAACCTGTAAATTTCAATATTAATTTGAAATTGCAAACTGTTCACATATTTTTCTTAATCACACTATTCTAAATTTCAGTTGTTGAGAAAAGTAACTGTTGTAAGTTTTGTTTAAAAGTCTTTCCCACCAGAGTGTTAAAGCCATGTGTTGTAAAACAATATGAAATAGTATTCTGGATAGTAGAGAGAAAGAGAGAGAATTTCCTTAAAAACACAATTGTTAATTTGGGCATTTGGTGATACAACACTTATAGAATTGAAGGATTTGTTACGTCAAGTGCTCAGGTATCTTAATTTTGATCTAGTTGCGCTTCTATGTCATTTCGATTTATGTTGCTAACTTAACTTTCAAAAAATTCTATGGCTGGCAACATCATTTTTATTTTTTAAGTTGTTTATTTTTATTTCTTTTAGAATTCGTTTTTTTTTTAGAGAAATGTTTTTTAACCTAACAGAATTCTTTGCCGACTGTTTTCTCTATGAATGAAGAAAATAAAGTAAATATTTAACTGTTGTGAAAAGAATCTTATTTAGTTGTACAAAGTACTTCAGTCAAAATTTGGGAGCCACGTAAGAGAATTATATATATTAGATCAGAAACACATCATTAAAAGGCAGAATGCTTTGGTGTCTTCAAAACGTAAACAAAACAAAGCAAACGTTGCCACCGGCGGAAAAGAAATACAGCTAAAATTTGGGAGCCACGTAAGAGAATTATATATAATAGATTGTTACTTTCTTCGTACGCAAGCTTTAGATAAAAAAAAATCCTTACTGGTTTTCAATAGACATCTAATCTCGATGTCGATTGCTTAGGTGTGATAATACAAGAACTGAGAGCAGTTGAGCTTTGTTTTATGCATAGCGTTTGCAAAGTAATGAAATTAAATAGGATTATAAGCAAAATTTGTCGTAAATATAAAAGAGAGACGAAATTTACTACTGTGCTTTGGAGGCTACGCAACCTGACGAAAATAAGCCATCTGAGAAGAGAAAAAAATGCCCAATATGTAATTAATATGTTCTTCTTTGAATCATAACCACAATAAGATGTTAGTTAAGCATTTTTTTTTCTTTTCATGTTGAGCCATACAATCTTGATAATGTGTTAGGAAGTATAAAAACCACGTCAATAAACCAATGTTGCATTTATTTTGACTACCTGAAAACCTATGGTAATACTTGAAAACCTATGTTGCATTTATTTTGAGTGCTTGATATTGTGGTTAAATATCTTTAGAGTCTTAAAAGGAGATATTGGCTGTGACGAGCAAGTAGAATGAAATCGATTACAGCATTTTTTGTGTGATATTTATGATTTTCATTTATTTGTATATTCTTAATAGTAAAGAAAGACAAAAGTTGCAATTCAATTGATACAGCATAACAATTTACTAGGTTGATGCAATTAAAAATAATGTTACAACTTGTACCAAATTTTATAGCGTAAGAATGAAGCAACGTAACTTTTGTAAATCAATCTAATAAACACAATTATTTTTGAAGGTGCAGTAATTCGGTTCTATATATTATAGTATAATGTGATTCAATGTTTTCAACAGTGTAATTTTTATTATAGTATTCAATTCATGTGTAAAAAGTGATTGATCGTATTCATATATTGTGTAAATTACTAGCCTGTTGTGGTTGTTAAATGATATTTTCTCCGCACAAAGATTCTTTAGAGATTATTATAAAATACATTAGAATAATTTTAAAATTATTTTAAAACAAGTTCTTAGAAAAAAAATATTACTATTCTTCTTGAATAATAAAAATTGAATTTGTCGTTATTATCAATATAAATGTGTTTTAAAATCTACTATAATTAGGAATCATTTATTATAAAACTTCCCAATAAAGAAAGTTTAAATGAAACACTTATTTCAAGAATTTAGCTGCAATAAAAAATATTTCTTTTTCAAGCCTCATGGCTTTAGCAACATTGTATGTTATGGAATGGCAGAACAGAAGACATTCAGACTTCAGGAGCTCTGTCGTTTTTCAAGTAAAGAGGTAAACGATACTTTCAATATTCCGTATTCTTTAGTACTATTGTTGATTGTCAACATATTGTAGATAGTCAACATATTGTAGATAGTCAACCAAAAGAGTAAATTCTCTCTGATTTATCTTAATAAGCATACCTTTTTTTTTTAACGGATTTAGATTTCTGACCCCTAAAGTATACGGGGTAGCAGCCATCTGGGAAATATGGTCCCAATAATTTATCCAGGAAAATGATCCAAAGCTTGGAACCCATGATGCTAATTTTACTTTTTTGCGTGTTTCACCATATCTCGAGATCTTTTTAAGCGAATGGAAAACTTTTTGCACACAATTATAAAATTTGTTTATCCAAAGATAATTTCACTTAAAAAATAAATTTTAGTAAAGATTTATTAGTTTTCATTATTTTATTTAACAATGGTCAAAAACTTTTTAAGATATGAAACTTTTTAAAGAGCGTAATTTTGCATGGTAAAATACAAAATTTGAGCTCAATCAGTTGAATTGAACCTAAGAAATCAAATTTTTAAAAAGTCGTATATTTAAAATTTAATTTCTCGTTTTTGTGTCTGATTTTGCAGCTTAAAATAAACTATGCAATAATTAATTATCATATTTGAGATCACCCCCTTTAACCATTAAGATTGAGAACGTGAAGATCCGATCATTAGATCAAAAGTTATTCAGGGTGGTCCGATTTTTTTTTTGTTCATTACTGTGCATTGGAAAATATGCTTCAGTTGCCTTTTTTTAGATGAAATTCAATTTTTCCCCTCAAATCATCCCCATTTCTCTGAAAAAAACTGGGAAATGATCAGACAAAAGTAGGAATGTTTCAAAGCATCATTTATAATAACATAACAAAACTTCGCATCAAAAAATGTCTTAGATGCAATTTCTTCGAAGAAAAGGTGTAATTTTACTGTCGAATTTTAATTTTACTGAGCTATATGTTGATACATTAAAACAAAAAATTGCTTAGATAAAAAGGCTATTATTGCTTCATTTGTCTGTTAATAAATTGATGTATACTTACAAAACATTCTATTTTTCAGCACATCTCCAAGAAGTATAAATTTTACGATAGAAGATATTTCAAAGTTTTCTACTTTATTTCCTATTGCAACGCAATCTCAAAAAATTTCTACTATTTTTAAGAAACCAGTCACAGACAGTAAGTATAAAAACTTAAAAATTTCTTAATTTTTCATCCAAAAATTAGATTTCTCCAATGCCGAAATAAAATATGTATGCACAGCTAAACAAAGGAATAAAATACTATGCACAATCCTCTCTTAATATATATTTTTATAATCATCAACAAAAAGGAAGTAAAAAAAAATTTCATTTATATGTGTAACAAATTAAAACGTAAGAGAGGAAATAATATTATCGAAATGTGACTATAATTTAGGAAGTCGCAAACTAATATTTCGATGAGGAAAAACAATGAAGACGATAAAAACAATAAAAGGGGACTTTTTTAAAAAATATACTGTAAATTAGCGTATATGTTTTTCATGCTTTCTTTTTATTATTTCTTATTAAAGCCAATTTAAGTAAAAAATATAATATTTAGTGCATTAATAATATTTGGCTATAAAATACGGCATTGAACACCTGTGTCCTTTTTTGAGCTAAAAATAAACTTTTTGCAAACATGGCTCATAATCGAACAATAATTTTTCAAACTTGCACCTATCTGCAGTTATTTAGATATAAGAGAAACATTTATTCATCATTAATTTTTTTTTAATTTGCAAAATAAACTACTGATCAATTTTTGAATATGAATGGGGAAAAATTTTCAACCTACTTTTTTGGATTTTATATTTTAGAACAAAAATAACTCCGAGAATCTAACAGATACTTTCAGCAACTATTCAACTATTTCAGTATACTATAACTACTTTTAAAATTTAAAAACACCAAAATATATTTTTGATAATAATTAGAGCATCATTGGAAAATGTATATAAAATAGAAACCGGTGCCCTATCTGCGCCATAGGGTTAGTGCGATATGATTAAATATAAACTCATTATAATAGTATACAAAAATTATACAGAATAGTTTTTGATGTAATGTGGCATGCAAAAAGCCAAAAAACTTTGTTTTATGTTTGCATGAAAATGTGTAACGTATTATTAATTCGATGGTATGCATGCCGCGTGTTAATGGATAGTTTATCAGCCGTCATAATTCTTGTATAACTAAACAATGGCGCTCTATTTCAAAACTCCTGATGAGTCAATCCATTAGGATTGGGCCGCAATGTCTCAGGGGATAGAGCGTTCGCCTTCCAATTCGAATACCGGGTTCGAATCCAAGTCGATACGAATTCCGCATCCGACTTGCACGGACCATAGAGCTGACACGAAATATCCTCAGTGGTAGACGAATCATGGGTTAGAGTCCCCTTGCCGTCAGGCTAACCGTGGGATGTTCTCATGGTCTTTATCTCCATGTAACGCAAATTCGGGCTCCATCAAAAAGTTCTCCATGGAGGCAAAATTTCTCCCAATACTCGATCCAGGAGTTCCCTAGTCTTCTGGATTGGCTCAAAACTACAAGGCTACGGAGTAGAACATTAGCAGTCATAAACCCATAAAATTGGGTCGACTGTTCAACGACGGTTATAAGATAAAATCGATTAGGATTGACTCATCAAGCCGCAATGGCTCAGGGGATAGAGTGTTCGCCTTACAATGAGGTGAACCGGGTTCGAATCCCAGCGATGGCAGGTCGATACGAATTCCGCATCCAGCTTGCACCGACTTTAGTGCTGACGTGAAAATATCTTCCGTGGGAGACGGATCATGGGTTAGAGTCCCCTTGCAGTCAGGATAACCGTGGGCAGTTCTCGTGGACTTCCTTTTCATGAAATGTGGGTTAGTTCCATCGAAAAGTCTTGCACGAGGGCAAATTTCTCCCAATACTTGATCCAGGAGTTATAAAATAAAATCCATTAGAATATTCAAAATCTGCAGAACTCTCACACAGCAATTTCATCATGTTAAAATATGTATATGTACGATAAAATGTTGTAGTACGATAAAATCTATATTTAACATCTTCGACACTATGATTCAGTGATTCACAATATAATCTTCAACATGATTGGTTGCTTTTACAGATGCCAAAGAACAAAAGAAACTAAGCACTAGGTCCTATTCTCCCGTAGTGACTTCTAAACCCGATGAAGAAACATTCTACGGAGACTGCGCTTCAAGCGAATGTCCTATTTTTTGCTGTGATCCGTTCGCTGATCTTCACAATGAAGACGACATCTTAGATAAGCAAGATGATGCCATTCCACACGTGGAGATGAAACGAAGTGGCAATAACGTGAAAGTCGAAGGTTAGTAGTTCTTTTTTTTTACTAGTTACTTATTAATATTTATTTTTTATTGCTCTCTTGCCACAAATGTAAAATATTTTATATAAAAAAAGCTGAAATGCTTATAGAGAAATTTTTACTGTTACTAAGAACAGATATGTATGTGTTACTTTAAAAGCAAACAAAATTATTGTATACCAGCAATCTCCATTTTGGAGAATACACATAATATACCATTATTTATATACCGCAATGGGATTAATGTTTTTTTTTTGTCAAGTATTTTTGTAATGTATTTTTCTTTTTCTTTTTTTGTTACCAGACAATAGTCATATATGGATAAACCATAATAATACCCCACCAACAATGTGTGGGCTTTTACCAACACCTCCTAGAAGAAGGAAGGCCTCAGCACGGATCAATTTAGTAGTCCGATGTGACGAAGTTAACTGCGCAGTAGATGAAAAATAAGAAAGATGTCATTACGTTAGGGGTACTAAGCTGAGCAGTGGTTGAAAATACGAAATATGTCATTACGTTTGGACTACTAAAGGATATTTATGGTAACCCGTGCTGAGGCCTGCTCTTTTCCAGTAGGTGTTGCTTTTACCCGGTACTTTTAACGTGAGTTCCCTAAACTCATGATTTTTTAATGACTCCGGGTAATATGACTAAGTAATAGTAATAGCCTTTTTGCCCCAGTTTAGGGATAGTGTAGTGATTTTACCGTTACTTCCAAATTTTTGGAATGATGACAAATACGTACACTAGCACTTCGCTAACTAACACTTATACATACTAACACTTTAACAACATGTACAGGACGTGATCCATCTTATTTCCAAACAAAAATAAGTTGTTAAAAATTTACATTCTTTTAAACAAAATTCAGTTATTTCAAAGCAATTTTTCCCATTGCGCTTGAAATTTTTTATTATCTGATCAAAAGGCAGTTCACAAGGTTTTTTTTCTAATTAGTTTTTATACTTTGAAAGTACTTAAATCTATTTTTGAAACTTTGTACAGTGCGGAAAAAAATATGAAAAAAAATACTTCGAAATCCGTCGCATAGTTCCTGAAAAATCGAATTTTTAATATCTTTTTTTTTTTTTTTTTTTTCAAATTTGATTTCCTAAATCGAATTAGCCACACAGATATCGTTCAATTTTTGTATTTCACAATTTAAAATTACATTCTTTAAAATCATGCAAATTAATAAATAATTATTAAAAATCAATCTTTGTAAGACTATCTTTGGATAAACAAATTTTATAATTATATGCAAAAAATTTTCAAGTCATTTACAATGTTTTGGAAATATGGTGAAATATCCAAAGAATAAAATTAACAAACTGGCCAAACTATTCGAAAATGTTTCCGAGATTGCGGCTACCCCCTGTATTTTGGGGACAGAAATCGTATTCGGTATGTTTATTCAGAAAAAGTACGTTTTGTGTCTTATTTCATAGCTTAAAATAACGTCTGCACTAATTAGCATATACAAGATCAACTGCTCGAACCAGTAAATTTGAGGCTTAGTACATGAAAATCCAATCGATAAATCAAAAGTTATTCAGAATGTTTCTTTTGTTTTTTCACACTGTATATACGCGTCACATGTTTAAGTTGTGCTGTTTTGCTAAGGTAACATCTTTACTTTTAGAATTGAAGACGTTATCTTCTTCCCTGAATCTTACCCATAATTTAAGAAATGATTTTCATGAATCTACTCATTCTTCTAAGGGTTTACATAACAATGACGCATCTAAATCATCACTGCAAAAAATCAGAAAAAGAATGATAGATGCTGATGATGAAAATCTAAATAATGATGAATCTTTCATAACAGGTATTAAAACATTATTTAATTACGCATTAATTTATTATGCACTAATCCAATCCATATGCACTAATCCAACAGCACTACTATGCATAACTGCAAACATTTACAAATTTGAAAAAGTATTGTTTAGAAATGAACGATGTTAGCAAGATGTTACATTTAACGCACAAATGGACACCGGTGTTCCCTAACCATACACTATTAAAATGATAAATATAATAGTTTCCACTTATTTTCACCTAAATTAATACAAAATAATGAAAAAATAATGAAAAATATGTTTAATAAAAATTCTGCATCTAAGGGATAATCCCAACTATCAACTTTTTACTCAAAATCAGCAGCTTCCATTATCTGCGCAACTACTCTTACAGAACAATGTTCTAAGACACAATGCTTTTTTACGCAGTTTAATTTAAACTCAGCAAAACTTCCCAAAAGGTATTTAGTTTCCGCCATCCTAACTTAACTAGTTGACACCTGGCTTTTACCTATTAAACAAGTTCAAATTATGGTCAAAATTTTCGAGGTTTGACTTCCTACATTCGCAGGAAATTCTGTTCTGGACTATATTATCGTTACTTAGAATTATTATATCATAAAAACTTGCTTTACCCACAATAAAGTGTTACATTAAAATGTGTTTCCGTTCAAACTAAACCGTATCATTGTGTGAAAGTAGGGATAATTAGTTTGCAAGATGATATGTTTTGGTTATTACATACCCTCCAACTTATGAGGATTTTGAAAATAATTCTTTCTAGTGGTAGTGAACCAAAGTAGAAATTTTTAAAGCAAATGGATCTCTCATAAAACTTTTATCAGAATTTAAGAATCTAGCCATATGGCCTGCACTTTTATAAGTAATAGTGGACAAGTTACGCTAAAATTAATTTTTTTTAAATATTAAGACATTAATTTTGCTACCGTCAGAAAAGAAGATTTCTGAAACTACGGAAATTCCGTAGCAGTTGGAGGGTATGTTATTAAGATGGCAATAAATTTGAACTACATCTAACAGGACTACCAACTTTCTACGCTTTGTGGAAAAATTTATTCTAGTGGTAACATATTGCATGGATTCATACTTAAAAATAACATTTTTAATAACAGTAACAACTTTTTAAAGAGTTGAAATTTTAATTTCGAAAAACAATTCGTGATATTCTCCAATAATATGATACTGTTTGGCAAAACGCTGCTATAATAACATTTAATAGGAAATTTTATTGTTCTCTTCAATTTGTGAGTGATTCCAAAAAATGCCTATTGATTGCATTAATAAAAGTTTTTTTTTATATAAAAGAGAATAACTGTTAACGTATAATTTCAAAGGTAATTGATGTCATTTTTAAACTAGTCATTTATCCTTTAGTTACATTTTATCAAACACTTAATTTATTACTTTGAAAACTACTACCTATTTAACTAATGGCACTTAATTAATATATTCTGATCTTTGTAAGATGTTAATTTATGCCAAGTTTCCGTTTATATTAAACCATTAGATAGTGAAATAATGTTGTGGATAGCTTCATTTGCCCGATAATAGATTTTAATATTTCGCTGTATTGAAGGTGGAAAAGGAACTTAAACGCATTATAGTTCATCACGTTCCAAAATTTGCAACAGTGAATGATTAGTTTCATTTTTGAATAATCTCATCTGTTGCAATCACCAAATATGGTAAAGTTTTATTTTTCATATTAATAAGAATTTTTTTTCTTCTCTTCTACAGATTATAATACGAAAGCTCTTCTGCACATTGTGGAATTAAATACAACACTCACACCTGAGCTGTGTTCTGAAAAAAGGTTAGATGGAACATCTGCCATTTACATTTACTGTCCTATTTACATATCAAGACATTTTCCTCATCCGAATGTTACTCTTCAGTTTAGGTAAAGACAATTCTTTATAAATACAATAGAACTTTTCTAATTTATTAATAAGTACAAGAGAACTCACCTGATTTATTTATAAATACCATAGAACCTTAAAAACCTAAACCTCGTTCATCCGAATGCGTCTTTTAAACGACGCCAATTATAAAGTTTTTTATCTAACCCGAACACATATTTGCTTTTTCAATTTTGAAAGCATTTTTATTTTATAACTGACGTTGAACAACCGGTCCAATTCTGAGTTTACGACTATCAATATTCAATTCCATATCCTTGTATCTTTGAACCCAATGCAGAAGACAAGAGACATTGGGATCACGCCTTTAGACAAACTGACCTTTGATGACTTTTTGATTTAACTAACCTACATATGCATTACAAGGAGAGGAAAATCAAGAAAACTTCCCATGGTTAGCCCAAAGGCATGGGAATTCCAATTCATGACCTATCTACTATTGAAGATGTTTTACGTCAACATTGTGATCCGTGCGAGAACAGAATTCGTATTAATCAGTCATCCCTGGGATTCGAACCTGGTTTACTTTATTGGGAAACGAAAGCTCTATTCCCTGAGCCACCGCAGTGCAATTTCAATAGCATACTGTGTTAAGTTTAATAAATTTAAAGTTAAACTTCGTAATATTTTTGTTTTTAACACCTCTCAGGAAAAAGAAGGAAATGAAATGTATCTTCTTTGTTATAGATATCTTGTATCAACACTTAAAAAACGTACTTCACTTTGACAGGAAAGCTTCCAACTTGTTTGAATCCAATCATTTAAATTTCTTTATACTCTTTTGTCAATTTTTTTTTTCAAACTGTGAGAGCAGTTTTGAATAAAAGCGTGCAAAAAGGAAAAAAAAGTATTTTTCAGACTTATTGTTACTGTATTGTATACTTGACTGTTTCTGTTACAAACAAACTTTTTAACATTAAACTATTCAATGAAAGCGTTGAACGATCTGGATTAATTTTGATTGTATATTAGTTACCCGATTATATATTAGTGATTATATATTAGTGACCCAAAAGCCGCATGCGGCTGCGGGGCACCAGACTTAAGATAAAATAATTATGAATGCTTAAACAGTGCTAAACACTGTATTAAACACAAACTCAAAAGTGAAAACAATCAAAAAGCAAGAACGAAAATTCCTGGAACAACTCAGGGTCGTTGAATGTCCATTTATCCGAAGAAATTTAATCCTAATGAGGGGGTAATGAGATGATGGTCTCGGTTTCATTACAACCAACGAGAAACATGATTGATTCTGTTTATCATCATTGTCATCATCATATTTGGCACGTCAGTCCCGTCTATCCAGGATAAGGTAAGGAATTATGTTGAAGATTCCTTAGGACATCTTTTAACCTGAACTGTCAGTTTTCTAGCAATATGGACACATTATAAAGATTAATTTTTATCTTAGGAAAATTATTTTTTATTCAGAAATATCGCTTTTATCGTAAGGAATGTGTCCTGATGAAGACCTTTTCTTTTTCTCATTAAAAGTTTTAATATTTTATTTTATTCTTCTTCTTTGTTTATATATATATATATATATATATATGTAATATTTATTTGTATCAATTACTATATTCATATTTATTAGAACTGAAGAGGATGATACCGTCCAATATTGTGGTGGAAGCCATTTTATATCTTGCCCGCGAGAAATATCAGATGACGATAAAGCACTCGAATCCAATAGGATATTTAAAAGGGATATAATTTCACAGGTAAGAAAGATATCAGGCTTGAACTATGAACAATGAGGAATGCATATTTATATTTAAATATATGTTACTAAAAATTAAGAAAAATTGTAAACTTGGTCGGGTTTAGACATTTGCTATAATTTTTTACTCTACAAAGCCACCAATGGTAAAGAATTGCTCTTGCTTTTTAGTGTTGAATTTAACATATTTCCCGTTTTAATTTAGCGGCATTTATGACTTTACTCAGAAAATCATCGAAACGTTCTTTTTAATTAAAAGATAAATATAACACTAAATAGACAAAAAGCTACATATTTATAATAAAATTAAAGAACTTTCAAAACTCCTGCATCATAAATGTATCGATATGAAATTTAATCAAAAGATAGGTAATGATTTCAAACATATAATGGGTCATTTAAATAAAATAAAAAACGATTTAGATGCAAGAAAGGGTTGATGAAATAAAAGTAATTTAAGAAATACAATTAGGGGGATAAACTAGATTTAATAGTCGTTTTTTGAAAAATGTTTTAGTCTTTGGAAAATTTGCAGAAGTTGAATTCTGATACTATACTTACTCACTTAAATTTTCAAATTATAAGAAAATAACCCTATGTCTGGTCAATCAGTATTTTTTTATTTCAATAATATTACAAAGACATTAATTTACGTCTTGGCAGAGTACAACAATTTTATTAATTTCTGATTGAATAAAAACATTAATTAACAAGTTGAAGGTTAGAAATTAAAAATTATTTAACTTGCCGAGATTTAATAGTATTTTTCATCCTGATCATAATTCTAATGAGAAAATAAAAATGAATACTTTTTCTTTTGATATTTATTGTTTGACATCATACTAAATTTCTGGCTAGGTTCTAAACATGAAGTCGATATTTCTTGATAAAATTTCGAAAGATGGCAACGACAAGCATAAAAATAATGGAAAGCTGTAGCTCTAGTATATTTGGCGAAACCGTAACAGAGTCACCTAGTGAATAAATTTGGAATTAACGTTCCTGAAACGTAAACGATTTGAGACGCGATAGATGGAAAAGATTAATTGCTAAGATGTAAATCACAAATAGGATTAGTACGAATAGTCGATTGGTCAATGTCTATGATTGCAGATAATCAATAATCATAATTGCTGAAAATTATAAATAACGGTTACATACAATCATAATTACTAAAATTCATAGTTAGCGGTTTCAAGTAATCATGATTGCAAATCACTGACTACTTCAACATGATGTCAAAATTGAACATTATACAATTGTATTTTACTTTTTCTCTTTTTCGATTTCTATTTCATTCTTTTTTCAACTTAGTTGTTCTTCCAATTTTAATATATACTAAAAAGATGTGTGGTTTTGTGTACAGTGCTCAAAAATTATGCGAAATTTGAATCTAATTGATCGAATAGTTCTTGAGAAATGAAAGTTTAGAAATTCGGCTTTTTTGAAATTTTCTAACTCAGAAACTATGAGACTGATTTCGTTCAATTTTGTATTTTATTAATTAAAAAAATTTCATAGTTTAAAATGATGTACCTTGCCATTCAAAATATTTTCTACTATCATGAAACAAAATAATAAAAACAAATTAAGTTATAAAAAATTATTTTTTACATGAAACGATTTAATTAGAGGAAGGAAAACTATAACTGTATTATTATTATTATTATTATATGTAGTAATACTATAACTTGTTAGTATTATTACATTGCCTTTATACTTGCAATTATTATTAAATTTTAATTTTACTTGTAATGATTATTTCGTTGCAATTATACTTTTTATTATTATAATTACATTACAAATATACTTGTAATTATTATTACATTGCATTTATACTTTCAATTAAATTACATTGCAATTACACTTTTGATTATTATTACATTGCAATTATACTTTTAATTATTATTACATTGCAATTATGCTTGTAATTATTATTACATTGAAATTATACTTTCAATTATATTACATTGCAACAACACTTTTGATTATTATTACATTGCAATTATACTTTTTAACTATTATTACATTGCAATTATTGTTACATTGCATTTGTACTTGCATTTATTATTACATTGCAATTATACTTGTATTTATTGTTACATTGTAACTATATTTATAATTATTACTGCATTGCAATTATACTTTTAATTGTTATTGCAATTATACTTTTAATTATTATTGCATTACAATTATACTTTTGATTATTATTGCATTACAATTATACTTTTGATTATTATTACATTACAATTATACTTATAATTTTTAATTACATTGCAACTACACTTGCAATTATTGTACATTGCAATTATACTTGCATTTATTGCAGCATTGCAATTATACTTGTAATTATCAATACATTGCAGTTATACTTACAACTCTGGTGTACACTACACAGGCTAGTCTCAGATCAATTTATAATCCATTTGAAGCCTTTCTCTAGTTTACGCCAAAATACTTTTTTAATTGAAATATGGATGAATTATAAAAAGATTAATTTGTCTTGCAGAGTCATTCCTGGCAACTACCTGTTGGTTCCTTTATCCGAAGTCGATATCGCTTCCGGTTGCTGTCTCGAGAATTCGTTACGGAGCAATCAGTAAGTTTTCTTACAATTTTCTACTACATAAATTCTACGTCATTATACACTGCATAAATGAATACTATCTTTATTTAAATCCGCATTATTATGAGATTGTCATATCACTTCTAGCTACGTTAGATACAGGGACTCTAATTAAAATCTCTGTATCTACCGTAGTTAGAGACTATAGAGTAATTGACATAATCAAAAAGTAGTTTATTTATCTGACAAAACTGAATCTTACATTCAGGAAAAATTTCTTTAAGTTTTTTCCAATAAATGAATTGATTTAGATTAATCTTATTCTTAATTGATCTGATGGACTCCAATAATGATTTGTCTGACGTTGATAAATATTTTATTTTATTTTATGTACATTCTAATCATTACATTGAGTTTAATTTCTTATTATAAATTATTATTTTAGGTCTGTTCCTACGATTCAAACTACCGTCCTTTCACTGAATATATTTTGACATTCCAGAGAAAATGTGACAAATGAAGACGTATTTTTTAATATTTATACTGACCAAAATGCCATGTATATAAAGAAACAAGCATCTGATTTCAAAAAAGGAACTATTCTTTTGAAATATAATATCTTAATTTATATACAAGTATTAACGTGAAATAAAAAACGTCGGACAGCACCAAAACAGTATTAAAACATTTTTTAAACGACGTTTCTAAGAAATTTATGAAAGAAATGACTCTGAAATATCTCTGACGATATTTTCTTTTATTTAATTTTTTTCAAATGTCATTAATCAATGAAATATTGTTATTGAAAAAGAATATAATTGTATCAATAATTAATAGAATAGTATTTGCTATAGGATATTATGTTTTGCAATTTTAATTAATAAAATCAACCGTACTTATTGGGCTCTTTATTTTGTGTTGTGTACTTTTTCACACTCATTCAATATAGACAACAAAAAAGATATCACGTTGTGTTCAGACATTCTGTTTAATGAAATTTCTGTTCAATCAAATTTCGACATTCATTCAATATAGACAACAAAAAAGATTTCATGTTGTGTTCAAACATTCTGTTTAATAAAATTTCTGTTTAATCAAATTTTGATAAACGAAACTGCAATATGCATACGTAAACAGATATGGATTATATAAATGTATTATGTAAGCACATATGGATAATAAGATAAAAAAACTAATTTTTATAAATTAATTTACCTTTGTTTATTCCATTTTGTTTCATGCGACGTATATTTTAAATCAAATCATATAAGCAAGGTTAAATTAATATGATGATCTATGCAAAATGCACTAGCAACGTAGATTGTTTACTCATATATAGATTTCTTTCATATGCATGTTTGCTTGTTTATTTAAATTTCAATCTGCTTTTATTTATTTATTGAAATTATATAGATTTACAGGCTTGTGTGCTTATATAGGCTAATAAACCTTTGTCAAATAGATGGACAGATCGAACATGACAGAGAACGACAGCACGGAGATACAACCAAGATAACAGCGGGTTTCGAACCCGCTACCTCCTCACTTTGTGCAGCGTTTGTCGAGCGATACCACTCGGCCAAGAAGGCTCCTCAATCTGTTTTTCTCCTTCTCTGATTTCGAGGGTGTGAAGTATTGGTCCTCGTTAAACTGTTCTACCGTAAAGTGCTCGACTTCGCGGGCAGGTCGTCAGACTACCGAAGCGGGGGTGCCATCTCCTCAGCAGAGGATCAAAATTGTGATGGCATGTTTTCGGATCATCCTCAGGGATGTTTCCCAGACCGTCGCCAATAGCCCATTGTGCAGCTCTAGTGCGACGAAAATGAACAAATCAATCAACCTTCTCTGATTAAGGGTAAGCAGGATATAGTTAAAATCCTGGCAGCAGGGTATTATCTTTCTTCAGAACACTCATGAAGCGTGAAAGTAGCACATTCGATTCCCACCGCGCACCGGTTTAGGTTCTGTATCTCCCCTTTATAATGACTTTCTATAAATTATGCTTTCTCCCTTTCAATTTCACCAGGTAGATCTTTGAACAAAGCATGAAAACTTATTAAGTTGAGATAGCCTGGCAGGTAAGACATTAGTCCCATGTCCGAGAGGTGGTGAGTTCGATCCCCGCCAGCCAAAGACTGCCCGTGTGCAAAATGATGACTGAAGCACGCTAAATCTGTCGGGGTCTCAAAGTCCTCCAAGCTCCCATAACTATCTCTGGGGGGTACTATATCGGAGATTGATCGTGTTCAAATTCAGGTCAAAATTACAATCTGCGGATGGATAGTGTGGGAATGTGACCTGCCAGTAAAACGGGATATGACGTCCGCATGTCGTCTCCGGAACATCCTCAGGGATATTTCTCAGACCGTCACCAATAGCCTATTGTGCAGCTCCAGTGCCACGTGAAGCAAAAAAAAGTACCGTACAGTACAAATTATGATATGATTAAATATAGGCCGGATGACTGAGAGATTAAGGTGAGAATTTAAGGCAGAAATACCTGTTAATTTTGCCCTGAAGTCATTGTAGAACCTCAACGCTTGAGACAAGTCTTCAATAAACGCTTAGATGAAGTACAACCAACTTTATATTTCCACGACCAGAGAAACTGTTAAGCTAAGGCCCCGATAGAGAAGTTTACAAGTTCGTAACCAAAAGTCACTGAAAAACTTTAATGCAAACATGCAATGAGCACAGAAGCACATGAATGAAGTTAGATAAACTTTATTGGACTTCTTAATGACTTTAATGAAAGCATACTTAGCTTAAGCTGAATAGGATTATAGTTGAACACAGCCGAACATTGAAAAACGATAATAGGGCTTTTAACACTAAAATAAACAATTATTAAAAATTTCTTTGTTAAAGCAGGTCTTGTAATAAACAAGCTCAACTACACGCAATAATAATTTAATTAATCTCCTGTAGCAGATTAATACCTACTATTTCCTTCATTTGTAAAAATTAAATAAACAGAAATAACACAGAATATTTAATAAATAAATTAAAGGCAACCAGATATAATAATTTTAACCACTAATGCTTCAAATATCTTCCAATTTATAAGTTAACTTCGAAGTAGTTTGCTTCAATAAACTGTTCTGTACAAAGTCTGTTAAAATATCTCTGACCTCAGAATTTATGGCTTCTTTCAAAGTGGTTTCAAGCTCTCTTCTAATCTCTGCCATTGATTCTTCTGAAGTTATTTCAAGACCTTGAACATCAACAGTCATGTCATTAACCTGAGACATTTCAATTTGTGGATCAACAGGTTCTGATTTCGCTAATCGAACACGCATGTACAATGGCTCTTCTGTTCTCAGTTCACACTCACCAGTGTTCTTCAGCCCCTCAAGTTCTGCAATAATTGTGCAAATCGCTCTTAAGCGACCCCACTTAAAAAACATCACTGGACATCCACCTTGTTCATCTGATTTAGCATCCTCAATGAAACTAAAATCAGATAAACCAAAGAGCGATAGTCTTTCCACATAAATATTAGTCTGTCTTGATCTTACTGCAGATCTTAAGGGCACTGAAAATTTCAAATTGCCCATTCGATAGGGCTCTTGACCTTTCGCAAATAGGGCCCGGCTAGTTCTTTTCACCAGATCAGCAGGATCGAAGCAGGACTGGCCATAGTTTGGGCTGACTTCCATTAAGGCCATCTTCATTTTTCGCCCTCTAATTTCAGGCACTCTGCGATAGATTTCGTTGGGGCTAAAATATACACCTCCAAATTCTGAAAAGAAAAGAAGAGAAAGTAGAAACAATATAATAATATGTGCATGATACTGAAGGCTTCTGTAACAATTTAGTAATTTAGGAAATTCGAAACACAAATCAAGCAAAAATGAAAAATTTCTACAGATATGTCTGTTAGCAAAACAGCACTTCATCAGGGAACACACTGTCTGCCAATACACAGATTAAGATTTGGCAATTTATTTATCATTATTATATTATTATTTTGATTTGGTTATTCTAACTGTAACTATATCTTTATTTATTTTTCTTATATATGGGCGCTTCATTATTAGTTCTGGGGATTCCCTAGCCGCGCGGTATCGCCCGCCAAACGCAGTGTGAATCGTGGAGGTGGTGGGCTCGAACCCCGTCGTAACCCTGATGTATTCTTTGTGATGTCCTTCTATAAATTGTTCTATATGTCCTTCTAATTGACAAGGGTTTATAAACCTAAATTGAGCAAACAAGCCTGCAAATATATGTAATTTCAATAAAGCAATTAGTCCTCTGTGTACTTTTTGAATTGTACTTGCGTATCGTTAATTTTTCATTGTATTTGCACTTCAATTTTTGAATTGCTTTTTCGTATTTATCCATTATGGGGCGACGGTGCGCAGTCAGTTTTTGGTATTACCACTGACGACAGAAAGGCTCCTGTGTGTTGCAGACAGCGCGTCCTCTGGTGAAGTGCTGTTTTACTAACATACATATCTTTAGAAATTCTTCTGTTTTTGCTTGATTTGAGTTTCTAACTTTCTGAATTATTAAAATAAGACAAATTTGGTTTTAGTTGCTTTTAGCGCCTTTCCATTTTGACTTATTATTTTAAACGGTATTTTCTTATTTTGTCTTTTTATTTAATTTGCGTATATCAGTTTCATTCTTTGATTAGAGGCTTCTATATTAACTTTCTGAGGTCTAATATATGACCTCATCAGTCCCCAGAACAATGAATCTTACTCATCTTAGAGTACTGACCAATATTGCCTAGTTATTAGGATGTTATACAACGGGAGAAACTCTTGATGGCAAATTCTGCTTAACAATATTGGTCTCTTAAAATTTAAAGATTAAAAAAAAGTGAGTTCAAATAAACATAGGATAAACCATGAAGTTCCAAATGCCGAAAATATTTTTTTCAAAACATCGAAATGCAAACTAATTATTGCTGGATCACTGCGTAATCCTGATTTATTCTGCAATTGTTAGTCTGCATTTTGATTATTTGAAAACCTTTTTCAGCACTTGAAACGTCATGGTTTATTTTAGGTTTACACGAACTAATTTTTTCTATATTTTGAATTTTAAAATACCAGTGGAGGTGGAAGAGAATTGAACACAAAGTGTTTCTCCCGTAGTATAGCGTCCTCTAAAGCTTAGAAGAATTGTAAAATTCAAAATATTATTTTACTGTTATGTTTATGGATAATATTGTTTTTTCATCTTAAAAAGAATTACTTTCTTCGTTATCCTGTATATTATGTTTCCCCAACAAAACATTTTATGCAAAATATGTATAAATTTTATACGGCCACATAAAGTTCGTTGGCTATGAAAATCATGGCAAATCTTTACTTGAATTTTTTAACTGTTATTTAGTATAACAGCTCCGTAATCTTCGCCTTTATATATTCTTATAATTCTTGTGAAATGATTAGTCTAAAAATTGTACAATTAATTTATCAGCGTGGAAGAAATTAAACTCACTTGAAATCTATCAAATCTATAGAGATAAAAAGGGAATGAATAATATTCGAACCAGTTTGATTGCCTGGTTAACTTCTCTCTATCACAGTAATCAGACAAATTGTAATGTTTTCATCAAATGAAATTACCATAATAATATTTCGTTTTTTTTTCCCCTTATGAATGCACATTTTTACTTAATTTTTAACAAGGATTCTAAAAATATATATTAAAGTCGGTAATTACCGAACACCTTATACAGTATCTTGCTGTGTAAGTGAAATAAAAAATAAGTAATTTTAGCTTTAAGTTCTACTTTTGGATTTATAATGTAGCTACTCAAAGTGAGTTAAATATGTAAAAACTACTGACTGTAATTGCAAAGCTTAATCTGTACTGATTAAATACTTTAGCCAGTGATATTTTAGCAATTTTTTGAAAAATAAGACTTTGAATATGCAAAAGTTACAGTAAAAATAAAAAATCTGAATAAGTAGAAATATCAACTTTCGAATAAGTAAAAATATTATAAAGCTGTTTGCAAAGCGTCTTATTTTTTATTCAAAATTACCATATTTAAAGACGTGGCACTCAGGTATTTTTTGTGTTTTTCTTTCAATTAATTCGTAACCTTTTCAATTAAAACAATTTTTCAAAAATTGATTTTATTCAAAAGATTATATTGAATTTTCAAAAAAAAAATTTCAGAAAAAATTGTTGAAGAAAAAATATTTTCTACATAATATTGCGAGGTTTATCAGCACAATTCAAAAAGAAGAAAAAAGTCGCCATGAATAACTCTTCATCAAGTGATCTAATTTTAAAATTTTAAATACAAATCTTCGTATTTCAAAAGGAACTATTGTAATTATGGTGCCTTTTACGGTTTTGGTTATGAAACTGCTCCTTCCGTGTGCAACTTTATCGCATTGTTTTAATAAACATACAAGTTTTATACTTTATTATATTCATGTATTTTTTTACAAAATATATTCTTGTTTTTAAATCTAAATAAATGGGGAATAAAATCTAAAAAGTTGAAATTTCAACACTTATTTATTTATTTATTTATTTTGGTGTTTCGGGGCACCATATCTTGATCATCAAACAGTTTTGCATAAAATTATAAGACTTGCTCTCAGTAATTACTTACTCAAAGATAAATAAATCAAAAAAATTATTGTTTATTGTTTTTTTAAATAGCCTTGTCTTATTAATTATCAAGAAATATTTGAATTGCGAATTGTAAAATATTTCAAATCTCGTTCCCTACATAATACGACTTAGAAACTTGAAATTGTTAAGTCGTGTAGAAAAGTATACAGATGGAATGAATGTACAGGGATGGAAGTACAGGGATGGAATAAAAAAAATTAACATTAGAATATTTTTCCGTGAATAAAATTTATTCGTGAAACTTTTAAACGTGTTTTTGAAAAAATAACATGCGGGTCAGTCTTTAGGCAGCAGAAATGCAACTAAAGAGTTGAAATTTGGCATGATAAAAGAATCACATTTGTTTATGTGATGTAACATTGTTTACACGAGTGAACATGAGTTTTTTTTTTTTCTTCCTCTTCTTCTTTTCCAAAATTCTAATTTGTTCGAAAGTTATTGCAATTTTAAGTGCGTTATCGCAAATTTTTCCTCTTTCTCTTTACGATACAAATTACTCTACAGCTCAAAATCTATAAGATTTAGATGCTTAAAATTACGAAGGTGTGTGGCAAAAAGTATAGAGAGTACGATAGAGTAAAGAAATTTCTGATTCGACTATTAGTTCGAGAATTATTAACTGTTTAATTTGCTGCAAAAAAAAAAGAAACATATTGGTCGATTTACTATCCGCTGAAATGCAACTTCAGAATTGAAATTTGACGTGATGATAGTCGTGATGACTGACGTGATGATAGATTTTATTTTATATTATAACCGTCGTTGAACAGCCTACCCAATTTCATGGGTTTATGACTACTTACGTTCAACTCCGTAGCCTTGCAATTTTGAACCAATCCAGAAGACAAGGAAACTCCTGGATCAGTACCCCCAGAGGTATTGATTTGTTGTGGGAACATGGAGGACTTTGAGACTCGACAGATTTAACGTGCATCAGTCACCATTTACTACACGGGGAGTCTTCGGCCGGCGAGGATCGAACCCACGACCTCTTGGATATGGGCCCAGCGCCCTACCGACCAGGCTATCCCGGCCTATGATAGATTGATGTGATGATCATAATTTTAACCAGAGTTTTTTTTTTTCGAAATTCCTTGGTTGGTTGGTTGGTGTTAATTTACGTCGCACTAGAGCTGCACAATGGGCTATTGGCGACGGTCTGGGAAACATCCCGGAGGATGATCCGAAGACATGCCATCACAATTTTGATCCTCTGCGGAGGGGATGGCACCCCCGCTTCGGTAGCCCGACGACCTACGTGCGAAGTCGAGCACTTTACGGTAGCACAGTTTAACGAGGACCAATATCACACACCCTCGGTCCCTACGCAGACTGATCCAAGTGGTCACCCACCCGCACACTGACCGTAGCCAGTGATGCTTGACTTCGGTGATCTGCTGGGAACCGTGTCTTAACGATCAGTCCACTGCGGGACTTCGAAATTCCTACTTGTTCGAAAGTTATTGCAAATTTAAATGCTTTTTCTCGTTTTCTTTTTCAACTTTTTTTGGTTCTAAATATCGATTTATCTATTTTTCTAGAAAAATTATTTTTCCTTCATGAGATTTTATTTTTTTATTTCGTAAGCTCGCGTTCGAGTAGATGTCAATCAAAAGTAGCAAAAGATAGGAAGAGAGAGAGAGATTACATGTTGCCAGATAAAAATCTTAGCCTTAGTTGTCAGATTTCTAACTAGTGAAATTTTTAAAAATTAAGAAAACTTAATAAATAACGATAAAAACCGTTCCCAATTTGAATTATTAAAAATCTCTTCAACACGTACAATTATTTCTCATTTATGTCCTCTTATTGAGTCTCACAATCTGTGTTCCTTCTATCTAGGTAATCTAGGTAATTCATTCAAATCTGGGTAATCATCCAATTTGTTTGATTAAAAACATTGACAAAATGCCCTTATCTTCTTCGCAAAAGTCCAATTTTTTAGGTGAACGAAATTTAAAAAAAATTCTTATGTTTGCTAAATATTTACAGAAAGATTAATTTTTTCTAATTTCTTTCTCGCTATTAACTTTGATGAATTTTAATTTATGATGATTCATAAAAGTTTTCCGTATTTGCTTGAAATATTGAAAGACATATACTCACCGCCCTCTACAAATGATGCCCATGTCTTATATATGATTACAGTAACTGAATTTTTCGAATCCAAATTGCACAGTGTTTTTATGGGAAGTTAAAATAAACAATTATGAAAAAGAAGCAATTACGGAAGTAGGTGAGTGGAGCGAACAGGGGATGGAGTCTTCTAGTTTATTAAAAAAAAAACTATAAACATTCGGTATAACTTCAAAAGACGCCAGTATACGAGACGTGCATATAAGCAATACATTTTAATACAATTATTGATTATGCAATATTATTGATCCTTTAATGTATTTGATAACATATTGAATGATTATCAATTAATGAAAGATTAGGGCTTCTAACGTTTTATTATTATTATTAATTTTTATGCATTTATTATAAAATTTGTAATAGTTAAAAATTTGTAATTTTTAATTTCGGTCATTCATTTATGCTTACGCTGCACATTTACTTACTTACGCAACAAAAACGCAATAAGACTATAAAGCAGCATTAATTAAACATAATTATTTAAACAACATAGTTTAAGGATTTTACCGAAATTCAATTTCTTCTCTTGCCTGACATCTGTTTATGAACATTAATTACTTCCTAACTTTGTTTTCTTATGATTCTTTCTTTTCTTAGGATCCATTAAATATTCCTACGAACAATTATTTTTTGAATACGTACAATGTAGTAAAAAGAAATAATTCCCAGATTAACGTTTAGGTCAGTTCGGTTCTTATTGATCGTAGTTTTGCACAAGTTTCAATTTTTAAACAATGTAATACAAAATTTGAACGATATCGATCAAATAATTCCTGAGAAAAAAATGTAAGAATGCGATTTTTTTTTAAAAAAAATTCATTTCTTAAAATCCCTTTCGATTTCGTTCAAATTTCGAATTTTGTCATTTAAAAACTGTTTTGTTTAAAATGATGCAATAATTAATTCACCTAACGATGCAAATTTTTTTCGATATTTCCAATTAAATAATTATTAATAACCATTTTTTTTCATGAAATTATCTCCAGTAAACTAGCATCATAATTACTTGATTAAAAACTTCATTCGCTTCAAAAAAAAATTATAATTGGAAATAACAGTCATGTTTCCAGCGCTCAAAAACTAATTTTTGAGCACTTGAAGCATGTCGACTGTTACTTCCGTTTTATTTTTAAAGCGAATGACATTTTTAATTAAGTTATATATTACTGTTTCAGTTTCTTGGGATTATTTATTTAAGTATTATAACTGTGCGTTTAAAAAAAAAAATTATATATATATTTAAGTAGATTGAGATTAAGTCAGAGACCTAGTGAAATTCGTAATAAAAAAAAATCAACATTAAAGGGTAAAAAATAATGATAGCTCTCTCTTGGCGAAACTATTCTGACTTGAGGATTTTAAAAAAAAAAAAAATTTTATTCAGAGAAAGTACAATTTTGTGTCTGTTTTCGTAACTTAGATTATCGTTTGCACACAAATTAACTGACATAGTTAAGGATAAACTCTCTAATTAATCAGATTGGCATTTAGTAGATGGAAGAAGAAGAAAAAGTTATTCAGGTTTATATCTTTTTTTATTTGGCTCCCTGTATTAACATAAAATTTCGAAACATTATTTTATGTGATAATATTTAACACAATAACATTTATTAAAATGTACAGGATCTTTTAAGTGACGAAAATTTTAATAAAATTTTAATTTTGTAGAATAATGCATGAAAATAACTTACGACTAAATCGCATAATACTAGGAAAACCATCATTACTATCAAATCGCATAATGCCAGAAGAATATTGTAGTTGAATACAAAATGTCACCAGAAGAATATTCAACAGCATATTCTCAACATTAAGAAATAACAAAATGGCGATGTATCCAAATGCATTTAGGTATCTGATATTTCTTTATCACAGAAGAAAATTCTTATAAGAATCAAATTTACGGAGAAGAAAAACTCTAAAACGTAAAAAAAGAGGAAGTTAACCTTCCGTTTTGTCGCAATGGGTAAAAATTCTAACTCACTTCCGCGCGAAATTAAGTTTGAAAATGAATCAAGATTTTTAAGTCTATAGGAAATGACAAATTGTAATTTTGTGAGAAAAATATATAAATTTAAGTAAATGTCAGTGTAGGGTGATCCCCGTATTTACGGAAATGTTTTAAATGGGTTGCAATGTGGTTTCAACAATCTTTATATCTTTTTTGTGGTTTGTTATTGCTCGTTTTTTTGTAATAAAAATAAACTTACATTTCCATAAATATTGAGAGATCTATTTTTGGACGAAGCACTCTATAGAACTTTTTTTTTTTTTTTTACACTTTCCAACTGAATTTTTTTGAAACAGAAAAAACATTTTTTAAAAAAGAATTTTTGAAATTTTACTTTTCTTTCCCCCTCCAAAATAAACGAATTCTACTTGTTAATTGTAACAATAATCCTTTTTTTTTATCCTTTTATATAAAAAAAAATTGAAAATTATCACACCACAACAGTAAATAAATATATTTCGCACAAAACTATAATGTGCAAAGGTAAGTACTTTAATACATGTAAGACATATTTAATAATTTTTTAGGTGAGAAATGGTGACATTCCAAACTTTAAAAGACATTTTTCATAGTCGCGACCAGTGCACACAAATTCGATTTGAACGATGACTTACATTGCATTTAACGATCTTAATTAGCGAAATGCAGAAAATTCGCGAATCTGAGTCACGATTTTTTCTGCCGATGGTTAGAGATTCTCGAATCTTTTATGACTTCCGGTGATTCCCTTAAACCGAGACAAAGCAATCGTTCAGATAATTCAAAAATGTTGCATTTATAGGTCTGGAATAGTTGTTTTATCTTCTTTTTTTTTAAGTCAAATTTATATTTGACTTAATCACGTATTTCGAAAAGTATTAGACTGACTATTCGCAAATCAACAAATCTATTTTGTTCAGATCGAAATAGTGAATCCATAAAAAATGGGATGACAGCATTTAGTAAAAACAGCATCCGTAATCAAAAAATTGCACTGGCCAAAAATTCTCTTAATTCTGATAAATGTTTAGGCAAGGAATTCTACTGAATCAGCAACTTGAAAGTTTCTCTCTTTAGAATTGAAAGACTTAGTTTGAAACATATCAAAATTGATATTTTTAGATAACTTATAGGTTGAATGGAAAAAGCATACAGACAAATATTGTTCAGTATTTGGGTTGTTTAAGTGCCCTTAATAAAATATTTTTCAATGTGTGTCGTAGTACAAATAAGATAGGCTAATTTACAGTCCAGCTGCCAAAGCCGTTGTGACTCAGCGGATAGAGGGTTCACCTCCAATGACGTGAACCGGGTTCGAATCCCAGCGATGACTGGTCGATTCGAATTCCGCACCCGTTGGGTTAGAGTCCCCTTACCATCGTATTTCGTGGTATTCCTCTCCATGTAACACAAATGATGGTGAGTTCCATCAAAAAGTCCTCCACGAAGACAAATTTCTCCCAATACTTCATCCAAGAATTCTCTTGTATTCCGAATTGGGTTCAAAATTACAAGGCTACGGAGTTGAACATTAGTAGTCGTAAACCTTAAATTGGGTCGGCTGTTCAACGACGTAATGAAATAAAATAAAATCCAGCGGTCTTTGGCGACTTTCTTTCTTTTTTTAAGTATTTTCCCCTTGACTGTAGTTGGTCCCAATTATAATACAAGCTTTTAATTCTTTTTTTTTAATTTGTTACTTGAACTGCAAAAAAAGTCAGGAATAAAGTTTTCTTTTAATTAAGAAAATGCCAAACAGGAGAGCGCTTTTAAAGGCCGCAGGATTGAAAAATCGCATATTTTAAAAAGTCTGGCTGGAGAGGGTAGCAGTTTGAGGATGGCTGCATGTCTTTCTCGGCACTTGCCTCTCGGAGCCCTCTCCAACCAACTGCGCAAGAAGAACAGCCCCTATACATGAATGATATGATTATAACCATACTAGTGCTGCTTTATAACGGGGGATCTTATTCGGCTTCAAAAGTGATTTTCTTCTAGCACTAAAGCATTTGGCGGGCCTTAAAGTTTACCACTTTGATAATAAAAAGAAGAGTATGTTCCTCTTAAATAACCAAAATTTAGACAAAAGATGCAAGGAACAATTTTAGCTATCAATCATAAAAATCTTTCGAAAATTATCATTGGTCTGTTCGTGAATGACGTGTACAAAATTAATTTTTATCACGAGAATAGCATTAAGCGTTGTTGCAATTAATACAGCACAAGCTTTTTCTTTTTAACTATAAGAGCTAACATCAATGATGTCTGCTAGGTGAGGACTTTAATTAGTCAAAAACGAGTTTTTCTGAGAGATGGTGCGTGATAATTATTTACAATTTTTTTGTTACGTAATGACGCTTTTGAAGCGTACACCTATAAAGAAAATAATGTGAAGTCAACGATAGCTAAAAATTTCATCAGCAAAATTAAAAAATAATTTTAAAAAATTGCATCAAGTGCTAATGCGTCCAAGAAGCTGCTTAATTGCGTTAAATAGTAACTAATATAATATTACTCACTTTAATTATGAGTAATAGAATGACTTAATTTAGAGACTACTATTGGTTCACTTCATTTTCAGCACCGAATGCTAAAGAAAATTTCTTCGCCTGAACGTTCAAAAACATCTTTCTCGTAATCTAATAATGCAAAATTACCAAGATAGGAAACAATAATTAAAAAAAAAAAAATTCTTATTTTATTTAGTTGTGTCGGTATATGCATTTTTAACTTGCATTATTGTGCCAATACCCATTGGATTCTTTACTTTTTTAACCCCTAACGAGAACAAGAGTTAGTGTGTCGCTTTTATTAATACAAAACTTTTCATAGGTATAGGGAAAAATAAAGAAATTTTTCTTCTGGCCAGTGGCCACTTTTATCAACGATAAAAAAATATTCATATTAATAATGTAAGGCATTACTTTTAAAGCACATCTTAAATTATAGAAAACACATGGTTCATGCCAAAAATGAAAAAAAAAAAATTTAAATAACAAGCTTGAAATTTAAGTAATTTTCAGTATATCAAAATATTTGTAACAATTCTGCATTTGTTACATTCCATGTACATTTTATTATTATTAATTTATCTTCACCGTAAAAAGTGGTGATTAGCAAAAAAAAATTTCAACCCACATTTGCTATATTTTATCTCCCAGTGGTCGGTCTCTTGAAGGTTCACTATAGCAGAGTTTGACTGTATATACTAATAAAATAAAAAAAATATGTAACTAAATACGAACACAATGTGTTTCGTAAAAAATTTATTTTCTCCAGACATAAAATATTGACATGATTCTTGCAAAGAAATGTGTGTCTCGATAGATACAATGTGAGGCGCCTTTCATTACAGATATTCAAAAACTTAAAAAGCTACACAGCGTTTCTTACCTAAAACAGCATAATTATAATCAAAATAACTACACAGGCACTTGAAAAAGATTGTTGACAGATAATTCTAACCAGGAAAAAACAAGACTATTGTATTAAATATTAATCAATAATAAATATTTAAATAAAAAGAATATTAAAGATAATTAAAGAGAGGAAAAGAACTAAATGAAATGAGTTTTGCTTTAAAATACAACATTAATTCCATGACTAAATTATTAAACAATATAGACTAGATAAATAAATTTTTCAGAGTAAACAATGACTCAATACTGTATAATTATATTTTATAACATTTAAAAATCAAAAAAGAAATTAGCAAAATTGGTTTCTAAATTAAACACGAGACACTCTATAATATCGGCACAGTGAAATCTGTCCAGTTGACCACATGTCTAAATTGATCCCTATTATCAAGAACCAAATTTATCCTAAATAATAAAAGTGAGTAAAACCTTTGTAGTATGTTTATCTTGCGTGTTGACTGATGATGGGGGAAAAAATTAAACTTGAGTTGATGATTGCTAATCTAAACCCATCATTGTCCAACAAGAAACAAAAACTTTTAATTTCACTGAGTTATGCATTATAATTTCACTGTGTTGGTAAAATAGTACTAAACCCCCATTAAGGTTGGGGAACTGTTAACATACCTAATAATGTATACTATATATGCTTTTCTTAGGTATGTAAGAATACTATGATATAAAAAAAAAGTATAACTCACCCTTCTACATAAGTTGATCACAAGTGGACAATTTACACAGATTTAACTGTACCTTAAGAGACTTGCTTTGATTTTATACATAAAGCAATGACTTATTGCTAAAATATAGAAAACATATATATATATACAGTAGTCTCCGATTAATCTGATTGTGGTTAATGTTATCAATTGCTGTTCATTACCAAAATCCTTAGTTCCGATTATCTTTAGTCATTCATTTATATGCAAAAAGGATTGCTTCTGTGTTCATTACATCACTTAAAGTTATTAGTTTATTTATTGATTATTATTATTACTTTCTTGTTGAAAATCATCTTAAATTCAATAGAAACCTGTTCTTCTCTTTCCTTACACTGCTTAAATTTCTGAGAATTACTAGAGGTGATTTTTCAACTGCAGGTGGACAAGAATGTCAAAATTACCTGTTAATTCTAAATGATAATTTTCTCTATGTGTCAGAAGAGTAGTGTCTAATCTGAACGGAGAACGAATTTGTCAAAATTACGTGCTCCGCTCGATTACAAAAAGTTACACAATATGGATAGCAGATAGCCAACTGATTTTACAATTAATTAAAAGATTGAAATCTTTATGACGGATTAGCTAAAATGAGTGGACGCAACATCTCGCAGCACAATTAAAACTCTCTTAACTTATAAGATGCAAAATATTGAAAAATTGTAATGATCTTATTAAAAGGGAAAAACAAAATGAAAACATAGATTGCAAATGAAGGAGAGCTGGTAAAGATGAGCAAAATTAAAAAACTCTAAGACTGTAATTCGGAATTGTAAGAACATCCTTCAGATACCTGTGTGGCTTAAATTGGAAAATTTATCCAATTTAATTTCGCAATTTATTTATTGTTATCAATTGGTTAATGCTATCAAAATCATTGTCTCCAAAGTCCAGAGACTACTGTATTTATATTATTTATTAGAATTCAAAAGTTACGATTAAAATCTATCCAAATTTTTGGCATAAGTGTATTGCTTTTAAAAACATACAAATTAAGGATTTTAAGGAAAATTATGTATCAAACATAACAACCGTACCAGTTTGAAAAGGTTAAAAAGAAAAGGTCCACTTACTGACACATGAAAGTTTTCAAATCAAAAAGCGCAATTACCCTGCAAATTATTTTGAAAAACTGAATATTTACATAAATGCAAAAAAATAAGATAATTCAATATTACATTAATGAAGGATTTATGTGTTCATACAAGCTATTTGAACTATTAGACTGCATTAATATTTTAAAAAAATAGTTATTAGATAACTTAAAAAGAATTTAATGAAAAAAATTGACTTAAGTATTGGAATGCAATTAAATATTTAAATATTTACTAGCAAATAATTAAATTTGCAAAAAATAAATAAATAAAAAACCTCTTCCACAAACGACTGAATTTTTGTACAAAAGCTCAAACATTAATAATTGTCAACAATGAAAGAAATTTTATAATCAACAAAATTAATATATCTGATAATTTTAGAACAAATGATTGCTAAATTTACAAAATCATAATTTTTTTATAAAAATTAATCATAACTAAAAATTAAATGAAACAAATTTAAATAGCGTAATTAGATGAATGCACAAAATATTTCATTTAAAAAAATGCACACAGCAACAAAAAATTAAATTGCTTTCAATGTTTCAATTCAAATTATATTTACTTATGACTTTTAAGAGGTGTATTAATATCCTATTAGTATTAGTAAAATTAATTCAGGCTATCAATTTTTTTTACAGATGTGATAAAATCTCGAAGTTTTTTTGTCACTCCAGAAAAACATTCATAATGAAACATTCACATTTTAAGATTACAGAATTTTATATTTTTAAACATGACACTGTAACTGTAATACAATTAAAGCAAGAAACAATAAAAAGAAATCATTGAATGATTTAAATTGCACCATTTATTTTATTAAAACCAAGAAAAGCTGAAAATATCACTGAAATGCAACACTTTTCTGGACAAATGTAATGATGTTATGAGCTAACAGTTGACAATAGAAAAAATTGTTAAGTCTCATTTAGAAGTTGCTGCTTTTCCATCAAACTGTACAAACAATGCAAAAGAAACCCTTATGTTCGGCATGTATGCCGTGCTTTAAGAGTCCTTCCATGATGTAAGTATTCATATCAACAACTTGTTTCATGCCTCTAAATCATGAACAAGCAACATTTCCGAGCTACCAAAACCGAATTCGGCAAAAGTCGGAGGGTCTGGATTGCTTTCTGTGGGTTCACATGGCACTTTTCTTCTCGGAAAGTTTGAAACAATTTGGAAACTGTTCGGAGATTCAGCATGGCAAAACACAAAGTAATATAGAAACTAGAAAAGGAAAAAATATAATTCAAAATTGATAACGTTTATTTAATAAACAAATATTAACTTTTGACAATCATAACCTAATATTAAACTCTACAAGTTGAAATTAAAAACTGAAAAGTAAAAAAGGTTAAGCATTCCTATCTCTAATATACATACGTGCAGACAATTTCTGATAATTTAAAGTACAATAATTCAAATGACACTATATATAATTTGTCTTTTTAATTATGTTACCAACTCTTTTTAATTCCACTCTTTTTTATTCCACTCTACTAATTAATGTTTATTATTTTCAAATTTAATCTTTAAAAAGATCTTTTTATATCTAAAAGAATCATTATAAACTTATACACACACTGGCCAATAGATTAGAAGCCTAAGATTAATATCTTATTGGACCACCTTTTACATGGATAACAGCCTGTATTCGTAAGAGCTACACATGCTTTAAGATCCTATATTTTAGATAAACAAGAAGAATACTGTCGATAGTGACTTTCAGCATGTTCCAAACATTTTTTGTTGGAATAAAATTGGTCTTTGTGGTGGCCAAGGAAGGTGTAGGAAGTCAGATTGATGTTCACTGAACCAATTATGACCCCTTCTGACATGCATGACACTCAATATACACCAGTCATTCAAAAGAAAATAGATGTTATAATGAGAAGTTGCTATATAGTGAGACAGAAAATTATTGCAATTATTTACTTATATTTCATATATACTGGACTTATTTTGGCAAAAACACAATTCCTTTTAAATGAAATTACGAAACTGAAAAACAGTTTGTTTGTTTTTTAATGTCAATTCAAGTACAAGTGTCAATTTTTATGTCAATTAAAGTATGTTCCATAGAAGGTTAAAAATACATTTAAATTTTTTTCACATGATTTCTTTAAATATTGCACAGATACTTTAGTCAGTCATTCAGTGTGTTTTCTAGATTTAGAAATTTTGCTTTAAAAGAACGGTGTCATGAAATTGGAACACTTTGCTCTTCTGCCTTTAGATTTACATTACAATTGTAAACAGAGTGCATTTCAGGATCTCAAATAATTTAGCAATTTGTGATTTGTATGTTATTCTTCTCTCTGTTTCCGTTAAATTTCTTAATTTCTATACGAAGCATATAACGTTATACTAGTTATGAGCGGACATTTTCGATAAATAACATATTACATCCTCTAGAGCAGTGTTCCATGGATCAAATGGTAAAGGGCCGTCCATTTCATTGAAACTGAATTTAAACTCCTAGGTTTATACCCCAAATGAAAAAATATGTGTCCCATTAAAATTTTATTTATATAAAAAAAAAGGGACCCCCGAAGGTAGTGACATAATTTTTTTAATGTTTGTAATGTATCATTGTCTCCGTTTACTCCCAGACGGAACCGTCTCATTGCAAAGAAACAAGCTCAGGGTACGCATTGATTTAACGTTCTAGTAAGTTAAAAATTTAAATCACTTTATATTTATTTTAAGGTGTAACTGTATTTAATTTTGAAGGCATGTTTAAATACAATTAAATTAAAATTAATAAATCAAAATAATCTAAAATCTAAGCAATCACCCCCCCCCCCCTCCAGCGGGCCGCAGTAAAATTGTCAAACATTGACAGGTCCGCAGTGATAAAAAGGTTGGGGAACACTGCTCAAGAGAACTGAGTAAAACCAAAATAAAGACAAATCTTTGAATTAGTAATGACTTTTATATAAAGGCCCAATAATTTAAACACTTTTCAATCTTTTTTCAAGATATTAATGAAAGCAGCTAGATTGCGCAATTTGTTTAAAACATAATAACATGGAAGTGTTAACTGTGAAAAAATAACTTGCTTAAAGTATCTTAATAATTACATTCTTACCTTAAGAGACTGGTCTTGTTCAAACCTTCGTTCAAGCATGGTACCAGTAGGAAGTTTAATCTTCAGTCGAACAGTATGGGGATTATCTTCAGGTGGCTCGGAAGGCATTTCATCCAAAAGAGCTATTTTTCTCCTCTGTATTTCCTGACAAATAAATACACAATATATTTTTCAGATAAAAGCAATTAAAAGTTTAAGAACTTTATTAAGTTTTGAATAATAAAAAAATAATAATTCTTAAGATCTAAGACTTGTAAGCTTCTTGGTCTAAAGAATTCTTTGTAAACTTCCTTGGATTGTGTCAAGCGTGAGATTACAAAAAGGATGAAAAAAATTTAAATGAAAAATTTAAAAATGTATAAAATATAATTATCAAAACTACTTTTTATATCCCAAAATTATCAAGTAACAATACTTTTGCTTAATGAAAAATAAGTCGGAAAAGAAAGAAGGAAAAAACAAAGTTAACATTTAATGATTAATGCAAAGTTATACCCAATGATTTAAAACGTGAAAAAACCTTAGAGCTTTTATGCAGGCAGAAAAAAAAATTTTAAAATTCTTTAACATTATTGAAAGCTTTTTGAACTTTACAAAAAGGAATCAGTCAAAGATAAACAGGTAAAGCAAAGATAGCATTAAAAAAAAATTTCGACTTATCTTGAGTGCTACAAAAATTTAAAATTAAAAGGTTAAACTAGTTTAAAAAAAATTAATTTAAAGGGCTTATTTAGTAACAAAAATTACAATTATAACCTCTTATAACTTTAAAAAGAAATCAATCACTGACTGTTTTATATTAGAACCATTTGAAAAATTCGAAAGCAACACCTACACTTATTCTTTAAAAATATTCAATTAATAAATAAAATACAATTCTTAATCTATCAATAGAATCTAAATCTAATCTTATCTTAATCTAACAATTTAATTTATTTTAGTGCTTTAAAAACAACAAAAAATTTGGTATAAATATACCAATTATTTTAAAAACACTCGATTTCCTATTTTATTTTGCATTATGCATGGCAACTATAAATATAACCAAAAATAAATAAAAACAAAAATTCATTTATAGCCAAGAGTGACAGATTGCAAAAAATAAAAGTTATTTTCAAACAGTATATTCTATACTAAAGTGGGGTTAAAAAAAAATTATGTATTCACCTCTTTTCTTTTTTGTTCTTCAATAATCTTATTTCTCTCTTCCAATTCCTTTTGAGCCTTCAACTCCTGCTCCTCTCGCCTCTTTTTTTCTTTCTCTTGATCAGCTCTCAATGATTCTTGGTAAGCTTCATCTTGCTGTTGTCTAATAGACTGGGTAACAGATCGTTCATGCCTGAAACATAAAAACTTGTTAGACTTATTTAAACAAGTTTATGCAATCTAAAATATAATGCAAATAGTGGCCATTATCTTTCAACTTTTAAGTTTAAAAATTTTTTTTCTCAACAAGTTGGACTTTCTTCTAATTTTTAGGGCTCAGTGGCATTGCTCTTTTTAGGACTCATTTCAAACCCTTCTTAACTTTCTAATTGCAATAATAACTTCCAATAACGTTTCTCTAATGAAACTAATTTTAAAAGCAAGAATCTTTGCTTCATTCTAAAGTAACTATAAATTCATAAACTATGTTTCAATAGTATTAAAGAACTGATTAAGAGTTATTTCCAGAAAATACTTTTCTTTACAACACCCACCGGGAGAATGACCTAGGTCATACAGGCATCTGAAGGGCAGATTTGTAGACCACTCTTTCAGGGGCACCATATTACGTGGGCCAACGTTGCTCCCACAGTGAGGACAGATAGTACAGAGAAGGAAAGAGCATCCATGCCTTGCCCGGGATTTGAACCCAGAACCTTTCTGATGCAAGGGCAGTTCCTTAACTCCTACACAGGCTGGTCAGCTTTCCAGAAAATATATACTGCTTGATTTACGCAAAACCATAAACTCTTCAATAACTAAGCAAAATCTCTCAACAAAAAATAAGCACTTTTAAAGTACTTTTTAAGAGCTCAAAAAATATTTTTAAGCACTATATACATTAACAAAATGCAAAATAATTTTCAAAGACTTTACATGATCATGATAAAATGACTAGTTTCTGACAAAGAACTCTTTGCTTCATTGTACTAGCCACCATAAAAAGATCAAGAGATTTTTCTGTTCGAATTCAGAGAGTGGAAAATGAAACCAAAAATTGAGAATATCTTGAAAAATGAAACAGAGTTGCACATGAGAGTGCAAGAATCTAACCTAACCCAGCTCAGTAATCCCTCCCAAGTATTTCATCAAACATGTTACATGAGTGGCACTATCCATACATTTTGGACCAAGAGTAGGCCGGAATGGATTGTGGTTGAATGAATTGTGAAAATGTTGAATAGAACAATGTGAAAACCACGCTTTTGCATAATACGCAACAAAAATCCACATAGTATAGAAAAACATCTCATTTTCGAAAAAGGGAAAATTAAGCACTTTTTAAAAACACCCCATGAAAAAAGCACCTTTTAGGGCTTTTAAAAAATGAAAATAAGGACCTTAAAGCACTTTTTAAAAACGTGATGTACCATGCAAGATAGAAAAATAGTGCCTTTATTTACAATTTATGCGTTTGATAGTAGCCTTTGCCCTTGACGTTTTGCATAAAAGTTTAAATGCAACTTATTAAATAACAGAGACACAAATCAGATTGTTGTATGAAAAAGTAGTCAGATTCAACCAGCACATATGATCTCAGCTATTTGAAGCCAAACCAAAGAATTTCCTTTTCAAAGTAATAGTGTAACGTTATTTTACACAGATTACACATTTTACAAATTGAGTATTAAAACAAATTTATTAATAACATACGTGTGGAGCTTATTCCTTATTAGTCATGTCATATTTGCATGCTAAATTACAAAACCTCAAAATCGTGGCCTTTGCTTTTCAAAAATAAAAAATACATTTTCACATTTTAGTAAAATTAATATATCAGTTATGAATGAAAATGTAAATATTCAACATTTACACTTTTTATTTAAGAATTTAATTTGAATATTTGAATGAATTATTTACTTTTAGATAATAATCTAAGTAATTATATATGTTTGGTAATTATATATATACATAGACACATTAACTATTTTTAAGCTGAGTGAAAAAATCAGTTTCAGTTTAAGCTTTAGCCAGTATTATTTTTTGAAATTTTCACAAATTTTGAATTATAGCTTACATTATAAGAAATAAACAATAAGACTGATAATGGTATATAAATAATCCTAAACCAACCTTTCATGTCTTGCAGCAATCAGTGAAGCTTCATTATCATTCATTATTAATTGAAGACGCTCAATAAGCAGTGAAGGATCAGTTTGACCTTCAATCCGAGCCACAACAGTCATTCTGTTATCTCTTAAAACAATAATAGCTAGGAATGGATAAGTATTTTCTCGCAATGCTTGAGACACTGTAAAAGGCAAAGTTTGAGATACTATAAAATAATAATACATTTTAAAAAAATACTTGAAGGCAAATTAATATTCAATATGTACCACTAAGAAACAAATATGATCAAATCAAACATAATATGATCACATACAAAAATTTTAAACAATGAATTTAAAAGTGAGTTATTTCTTAAATTTGCTTTCATAGAAAAGAAGAATTATTTCTTAAATTTGTTTTCTAATAGAAGAAAGATAGTTTGTAAAAAAATATTTTTTAAGAGTGCTATTCAAGAAGACATATGAATAGTTTATTTTTTTTATGGATACTGAAAATTTTTACAATTTTAGAAATTTAAAATGGAACTGTTATATCTTAAATTTTGAATAAACAAAATTAAGGAATCTAAAAAATGTATTGCACTGTGTTCGTTATTTTTTTTCACCATTAATTTAACATCATTTACCAGATACAACAAGTAAATACGACTTAAGTTAAATTAAAATTACAAGCACAATTACAACTATTACAATAATAATTTGTAATTAGCTGAAAGGTAAAGGTAGTTTAAAATTAAAGGATTCATATTCAATACTGATATTCTAGATTAAATATATATTTATTTCAAAGAACATAGAACTAGATTAAATATTATTTATTTCATAAATCAAGTCAGGTTACATTTAACAAAAGGTAGTTACTGCTACACAACTTACATTTCAGTTCGGATAATTATTTAAAGTTTTTCATTTAAAATACCATAATACAAATAAAAAATGGGCACATAAAAAAATAGAAAACATGAAATATAAGACTTATCATAGGAATCGCGCAAACATAGCTAGAGAGCGTTTGGCCGGCCACCATCGCCGCAATATGTGTACCAGCTACACCAAAGACCGCCAAGCAGGGAATGCCAAAAAAAACCGAATTGCATCTCTTTTCCCACTCATGTATGTCATGGCGGCGCTGCAATCGTTCACCCATTCACATCTGTGAGGTGATTCCCTTTCAAGTAGGGGTGAAGGAAAGAATATTGGATGAGGTTAATGAGCAGGGGTGAAGGAAAGCATTAGATGGGGTTGTTGAGTATAAAAAAAAATGGATTAAAATAAAGAATGAGATTATTAAAATTAAAACGCGGCGCCCAAAAGAAAATAAATTGCGCCCATAACTAATTAACAGAAATAACAACCTTTAGTAATAAGTTAAATTAAAAAGACATACAAACATAACAGAACCAAGCTTAAATTATTACTTAATGATTAAAGATGGAATAAGTTAGCTTTTTAAATGGACAAAAGTAATATCATTTATAAAATTTTTGTTTATAAAAGTGGGAAAGATTTCAACACCTAATTTTTAAAAAAAATTTCTAGAAATAAAGTGAATGCAAAATACAAGTACAAAAAAGAAAAAAAAAGTATATTGTGTTAAAAATTATATTTATTATATTGTGTCATATATTGTGCATGAGCAGTGTGCACCTTAAATTAAAACCTGTAAATATTTAGTGAATATCGAGTACTATAAATAATACCTATATATTAGAATAACTACAAAACATTTTTCAAGTAAATTCTATATACAAAAATTATGAAAATGCACTAAGTTTTCAGTAAAAATTTATCAAGTAAAATAAAAAGGAATCTTAAGAAAAGATATAACAAAAACTGTAGGTACTAATATTTAAAAAAAATATATATATAAATAAATACTATCTGCATCAAGGGGCTAGCTGAATAAAAAATATATTGTAATTTTAAAAAAAAAAAAAATTTGCCAGTCAGTTCCAAACACAAAACAAATTAAGAGAGGAAAAAATAGGTAAGAAAACTCATATTTTTCCTTTTCTTCCACAAGATCATAAGTTCACTTTAAGGCAGGACAAATACAGCAAATTACTTTTTACAGGTGACGGCACCTGCGTTGGACACTGGCCAACACAGCAGGGAGAAAAAAGCCATTGTCTGGTTTACACTTGCGTGAAATTAATTTTAGAATGTTCAAATTAATTTTGATGTGATGCGCAATACGTCTTAGCGTAAGACTGATTTTAATAAGAGGCATTTTATTTTGAATCGTGCAGGAAGCTGAATGTGTGTTGTAAATTCATTGAATGTGAGAAGATTTAATAACACAGGGGAGTCTACTTTTTATTACTGTCCATCTGTTAAACAAAGTTTAATGATTATTATAATTTCAAGGCATTTTGAAAAAAAGAAATAGGATACACATTTAATAAGTGAGCAACTTCAATGTGTTCATTATTGCATCTTTTTAATGCCTGTTTAGCATCATTAATTGTTTTGTGTTTTTATATTGCTATATTTTTATAAAACTTGTAGCAGATATATAACAAATCATGTTTAGCATTGCAAAATAATAGTTTTTTTTATTATCGGAATATGCAATCTAACTGTGTATTAGACAATTAGTTTTATAATACTTGAGTTTCAGTTTTGGTGTTTTTGTGCCCGTGCCCAGTATACCCTAGACCAGGGGTGGCGAACCTTTATACACCAACGTGCCATTTTTTCTAAAAAATTGTTTGATTAGGCCATAGACGTGCCGTCAAGTAACTTTGATTATTGGGAAAATAATAATACTAAATAGTATCAACTCAAAACTCTTTATTTACATTGAAAAAAAAAAACATTTTGCAATGTCTCAGTTATACGCGTAATTCAACTTAAAGTAACATCAGTGTGACAATCTGTTGTCGCAGATTAGATGACAAATAACTTATATTAGGTTGTAAGAAGTTAGTTTAAGCAGGTCTGTTAATTTTTTTGCTACTTATTTATTGTTAGCTTGTTTAATAGGGTTATTAATTGTTTTTTTAGCATTAATTGTTAATTTTTTAGCATTAATTGTTATTTTATTAATAATTGTTTATTATTTTGTGTTTTTTGTGAATTTTAATTTAATTTTTATGAAATATTTACCCCGACATGCCCCAATTTAGGGCATACGGGTAAATGTTTATTAAAATCAAGAAAATCTGATGGCAACAGCAGTAAAATAATTAAAATGCTCCGAGAGTCCCACCTTATAGTGCCGAAGCCGATGGGGCTTCCCTTATAGTGAGTCAAAGACACAAATGAAAAATTTTACAACACATCGCAGGAAAGTACAGTAGGACATACAATGCATCATGTGCAGGCAGTACATAGGATTAAAACGAGTAATATTACGGAGTAAGTTGGGTCGCTAAACCAAAGCGATCATTAACATTGTGACAGGATATCAAGGACACAAAGTATAAACTGTTGATGTATTCAAGAACAGTAAAACATAAAGTGAACCATTAAAAAAAACGTGTACCTGAAATGAGCATAAGAAAACATTAAAAGGTCACAGGTAAACGGAGGTCCCAAGTTAATATAGGTCAAAGAACCAATACAGTCGATGACAAATTGACAACAGGTAAGACAGAAGAACAAGGCGTAAGGAGCCAAGAAAATCTCAAATGTAAAACAAAAGGAGGTGAAGATGTAAAGTGGTAAAACAAACAATTATCAAATACAATTAAAAGGTGTAATTTAATTGTTATATATGCCTCATAGTGTAATACCATTCGTGTAATAACAAATGTGATCGGTGGCGTGCCCGAAATATTGTGTCGGGTGCCATAAATGGCACGGGTGCCATTGGTTCGCCATCCCTGCCCTAGACTGATGTTTCGATTAAGGTTAAAGTACCCCTGCTATGTACACATTTGCTTGGTATACCCATCACTGATGTTTTTTTAAGGCTAAGTGCTACTGCCCAGTAGACCCGTCTATTACTAATTCTACAGTGTCAGGTATTTCCAATAAAAAGTCACATTTATAGTTAAAGATATTTGCAGCAATTACGATCAGTCAAGCTTCTCAAGTGATAGGTCTGATGTATATATTTATTGTGCATGGTCCAGGGTGGTGCGAATAGTTCGTAATAACTATTAGCACTGCCATTAATGTCAGCCAAACAAATAGAACATATAAAGTTTGCAGTGTTTTCACTACAGCGCGAGAACGCGAGAATCTCGCATATTTTTTTCTTTTCTCGCATTAAAAAATTATTACCGCGAGAAAATCGCACATTCTATAAAGCAGTTTCAAAATTCGCGAATTTCTTGCATTTTGAAAAAAATTTCTCATTTCGCCATTTAGAATGAAATCCGTTTCACTTTTCTTCCTGGATCTTTCATTATTTTCAACATCTGCCCCATTATCTAGCTTCCCTATTTACCAGTATTGTTCAGAACCTTTAAGAACAACAGAACACCATCCCTATGAACCACGGAACCTCTTTTAGAACGCATTTCTCTGCAAGCATGTGCTTACCGTAGGTAAGGTTTCTCCATGTAAGAAGTTCAAATTTTTTGCGCATTAATGTAAGATGGACAAATACCTTGTAAAGGCAATATCTTTTACTCCGAAATGGACAAATGTGGGTAGAAACGATCAGAACGAAACAAACGCGCATTTGAGCAACCTAATGAGAATAGCTGATGAAAAGTAGATGTAGAACATTTTCCATGTGATGATGCAAAAAAAAATATTCAATGCTTTAAAAACTAGAAGATGTTAAAAATGTATTATAATTAAAGAAATGATTTTTTTTTCAAGTCTCTATGCGTNTTTTTTTTTTTTTTTTAGATATCTCACTTAACTTTTTGAAATCTCACCCTGTTTTTGAGAAAGGGTGAGAAATTCTCACCCATTTTTTTTCTGCGATGAAAACACTGGTTTGTTTACACTCAGTCAAAAAATTAAGAATTTAACAAATGTTTTGATAAATAACTTGGAAAGAATGGTAAGCGTAAACTTAAAGTTCATTGCAACAAAATAGATTATTTAATACATAATTGTTAGTAAAATTGTAGCACAATTTCAACCTCAGTGACTGGCACTTTACCTCGATAACCTTCAGGAGAATTAACAGAGCAACCCCAAAAGATAAAAGATGTATTCACAAAATTCACAACTTCAGGATTGGATAATACTGTACTGTAAAATAGAAAATACATTAAAGTTACTTAAGATTATCACTTCGAAAGTAGTATGTAATAAGAAAAAACTTTTCAAATTTCCTTATTTTTAATCATAAGCCTTATTTTTTAATCCTAAAATATTATACAAAACACTTATATGTGCCAAATGAGTAACGATTAAATATTTTTCTAAAAATAAAAATTATTACAACTTCTTTAGGAAAAAATTTCTGACTTTTAGGTACTTTAAATATTAATTTATTCATTTTCTGTAACTTTTTGAGTATATTAGTAAAATTTCCTGGTTTTCTTATTCTGAAACCACCTTGTTAAAGTGTTGTGTTCTTCATAGAGTCTTTCAGTATTTCTTAAAATACAAACATCTAAAAAACTATATTTATTGTACTTTTAACTACATATAATCTAAAAAAATAATAAAAAGCAAAACACAAACATCTAATATTAATTTTAAAAAAAGAGACTACCAAAAATTAAGTAAATCTGGAGAGAAAAAAATATCTACTGAAAAAAAAAAGCTTATCAAAAGACAATTTTCCTCATACACATATTTCAAAAATAAATACCTGAATAAGCTTTATACTGCTTCTGACTAGGGAATGAGTATACCTGGCTTTATTTAATTTTTATTTTAAAAAAAAAAAACCCATTTCCATGGAAAAATAAGGAATGTTCCACTTCTATTTTAACTAGGTAAAAGTATTGTGAACCTTCATCACAAGTTTATGAAGAAGAAAAAAAAGAGTTGCAACCTTTGCTACCAGATTATATAAGCGAATATTATAAAAATTGCGTCAAAAAATGGAAACTATATTTGTTACTGAGACACATGCAAATAACAAAAGTTGTAAATATTATTTCATATGTTACTGCTAGTCAAATTTGAAAAGATAGCTTTGAGACATTCTATATTTTAAAATAGACTTTCAATTTTTGAACACATTAACAATCTAATTTGTGATGTGGAAGAAAAATATCAATACTTTGGCTAGTGATACAAAACAAAATGTTTTACAATACCACCTGGGAATGCCCAACCCAATGACAGAGATGTTTAATTTTTCAGAGTTCAAATGACGAACAAGAATTTATATCTAACTAATGCCAACTTTTTGTAAATAGATCCTTGTGATAGGATTTGTATCATTCAGTTCTTAACTACTTAATCAGATCCTGTTTTGATGTATATAAAAATCTATTAATCAGGTCATAGTCAGTTTACAGAAGGAATAAATACTTAGAACGTAAAAAACTTAGTTACAAAAATATTTTTAGAGGAAGAAAAAAAATTATTCATATAAAAGATAAAATTTATTCTTATCAACTTATTACAAATTCAATTTTCTTACCTACAAAATTGATCAGTATCTTGATGGTCATCACCATGCAAATATACTAATAAAAACTTCAAATCTTGCTTTGCATCATTAACAGCCTAAAAAATGTAATAATTTTTTCAATAAGTAACATAATGTCAGTAATGGACAACTAGTAATATTTTCATTCTGTGACTTAACGAAGTTAATGGTTAACCAAGCTTACAACTAAAATGTAAATATTTACAAAACTTAGTGACAAATCCAAACTAACACCAATTTTGAAGCCTTTTTATTATGTAAGAGAACAAGCTGAACCTCTTTCCTAGCTTCTAATAATAAAAATTTTAAAAAATTGAGGTAAATAGAGATAAAGAAACAAACGGCTCCATCCACCAAAGTGTCATCCACCAAGTAATAAATGAATATTGATTTTTTTTTTTAGAAGTTATTAAGTCACTATACTTTTAAAAAAAAACAGCTGCAATATATTTGGTAATTAATTTAATATAAATTAAATTACAATATTTTAAATTTCGGTTTACATTATAGTGTTTAAAAAAAGCTATTGAAATGACTCATTTCAAAGAGTGACAATATAAACACATAGAGCATTATCTGTAAACAATATAATCTTAACAAAATGTCTCAAAAAGGATCAAAGGATCAAATAGTTGTTACCAATTAGTTTTATTAAAATCAAATAATTAAATCGTAATTGAAACACTTAAATCATGTTTTACATCTATACCACAAACACAAAATTTTTTACAATCGATGATTTGAATATGTACTCCTGAAAATAATATTAAAAAAGGCAGCTAAAAGTAAACTCTACTCTTCTCAGTTTTGCATATTTATAAAATGACATACAAATAACATATTGAGTTTTAAAAAAAGTTAAAAATCCATGATGCAATACTTAATTTTTATAGATTTTAGAAAACTTACTTGATAATAAGTTCCTCTGTAAAATATAGGATGCACTGTTCCATATTTTTCTTCATAATTTTGTATAAAAATTGATACATCTCTAAGAGGATCAGTTAAAACTAAAGGAAAAATAAAATTAATGTAGTAAGCAATAACACAGTATAGTTATAATTATTTTGATAAAATTAAATAAAGTATTAGCTTACATACATAAAAAATAAAATCTTTCAACACTTATTTCTTTAAAAGGCTAAGTTACCACACTTCGTTGAAAAGAGAAAAAAACTAGTGAATAAGTGTGTTTGGACCTGTAATCATTTACCTGAATTTTTTAATTTTAGTTGAAAACTGAAAAATTGGAGAATTTTTAGAGGCCATTACAAATAAGTAACTAAATTGTAAGGAATAAATGTAGAAAAGGAAAATTAACTTTGAACAACCACATTTTATTAAAAGATGAAAACTAAAACAATGCATTACAAAATGCTTGTAGCATAAAAGAAAAACTTATTGAAATTTTTTTAGAAGTCTTGCTGTGGCTAAACTTATACTCAGTAATCAACACAAAAATTACATAAATGTATGGTTTCTATGGTATAAAACCAACTTGGAAAGATTTCACCGTATTACTCATTTAAATAAGTCACACTACACTAACTATACTACCACAAGCAAAAGGTAAAAAATAAAAATACATCATGCAAATCACATACAGTTTAGTTTTAAATGCTTTAGTTTATACTATAAGAGTAAAAAGATTGTTTACCTGACTTACACAAAATTTATAGCATTAATTTGCTTTAATTGAAATCTTTAATAAAAATATTCAAAAAACGCATTTTTTATTTTATTTATTTATTACAATATTTGATATTACACACAAAACTAACTTTAAATTTGCAACATAGAAACTTAGTTTTTACACCAAGAAGAGTCCATTTCATAACCTTCTTTTAATATTGGCTTAATTAGACATTAAAAAAATAAATTAATAAAGAGATAAATAATTGAAAAGATATATAAATAATAAAAGATAACAATTCCACAAAAGCCAGTTGTCTCCTGGAAGGGGAAAAGGTTGCAATATAATTTTTAGACCTACAATGTGATAGCAATGGAGTAAATATTGCAAAACAACCACTTTTACTCTTGATCTTAAACCTAGCCTTTTACAGCTTGGTACTTTAAACCACTGACAGTGGTAAAGCACCAGGATAATCTAGACAGTGGTTAAGTGGCTAACAAACTCATGGTACTTAATAACAAATTATCACACAACTATCACAGCAAATAATAATAAAAACGTCAAAGACAGAGAAGAAAAAAATTACATAGCTAACAGTATCTTGTTTACTTGAAACAAGGTCATAGCTAGTTGAGGATTTAGATAATCATGACTTACATAATTTTAAGTGATAATTAATAGCAATAAGAATTAAGTAAAAATTATAAAATGAAATATGAATTGCTTTACTTACTTCTTCTAGGATCTGCTCTGATGAAACTCACTAAAATAAAAGTGTTGAAGTAGTTTAATAAAAATTGCTATAAAGAAAAAATACTAAAATGAACTAAACATTATATGATACTTACATGCAAATCTTGCAAGTCTTATAAATGTAGAATACATAAATTGAAATGGAAATGAAATAAATAAGTATCCCCATCCTAAAATAGTAGAAGGCCGGTAAGGACTAATAGCTAGAAAAACCCTAGAAAGTTATAAAAGATGATATTAAAAAATTACAAAGAATTTAAATATTTTATAAAAAATAATAAAAAAAATAATAAATGTATAAATATGATATACAATCTAGATCTATACAATTTTATATCATAAACAATCTAAACTTTAAAGGTCAATTATATTTTGAACAATGACAGCGAAAATTTCATTACTTATTATCCTGCAACATCACGGAAAAATTCTAAAATTCACCTGCACAGCATTTGGTAAATTATAAAAAGCATGAATGTCTAATACTATGAGTATAGTACTTAATAAATTTATCTGTGCTACTAAAGTATTTTAAATAAACAAATTAAAACTTAATTAAAGATAAAGATTGATGAATATGAAAAACAGGCAGTTAATAATATACAGTCAAACCCCGCTATAGTGAACCTTCAAGGGACCGAAATTTCAGTTCACTATAACCGGGATTTCACTATAACTGTTCCGCAAACAATTTTAACCAATGGTTCCAAACTCCCCCCTTTTATAACATTATTTAAATAAATCACCAATAAAATGAAATACCAAAATTAATTAAAAAATAATATGTAGTAACAAAATTGTATTCACTTTTATTTTTTATTACTCTTCGTCTCGCGTACAAGAAGACCAATAATCTTTAGCTGAAGAGCAACATCAGATATGGAAACATTTCCCGACTCTCCGATAATTTTTCCTAAATTTATGTTTCCGCTTTTAAACCTCTCTAACCAATTCCTGTCCGCTTTTTAAACCTCTCTAACCAGACATTCGATCACATAAAAGTAGTCTCACCAATTCGCTTAGCAAATTCATCGGCTTTGACTTGAAGCATTTGTCCACATACTGGAAGATTACAGCTGTTTTTTTAATGCTGAACGAATTCAATAATGAAGCAAATAAGAAAAAATGCTCATTGCTTCATTCCATGCTATAAATGTTTTTAAAAATCGGTATATGTATCTATTTTGAAGTAGAAATTTCAAAATTATTACAAAAAGAAATGAAGAAAAATTAGTTGAAGACAGAAAAAAGTTCATAACATCCAACTTCCTCTCTTTTTTTTCTTTCACTATATTCACAAAAAATAATATTACAAGTATGTAGCAACTCACAGGAGTAAACATTTCGTTCACTATAAACTGTGCTCACTATAGCGGGGTTTGACTGTGTGTGTATATATATATATATACACATATATATACATATATATATATATATATATATATATAGAGAGAGAGAGAGAGAGAGGGAGGGAGGGAGAGAGATGAGAGCGAGAGTTAACTTTCATCTAAAACACCAAAATAAAATAAATCGTGTATATGTTATTTCGGCTACCAAGAAAAGATTTATTTCATACTACAGATATCCTCTTCTAATTTTAGCCAAATAAACTATTTTTCCAACAGTAATTTGACAAAAAAAAAGCATAAGATTTTCAAAGTTAAATTCAAAATTACAACAGTGTATAATATCATGAAAGAGAAAGCTTAAAACTGATATTTTCAAAAAAAATTGTGGTTAATATGAATTTTAAATAATTCAGGGGTCTGTCTAGGTTTTTCTGAGAATTACCTATTTTGTGAAAATTTAGACATAATTTGTGAAAAATTAAAAATTATATTTAAAAATCAACACAAAAATATAGATTTATTGTTTCTTAAGGTATACAAAAATTAAATTGCAAGAAAAAATATTTTGTGAAACTATCGTTTTTCCTAAAATTGAATTTGTGAAAGTACCGCTAAACGGTAATAAATTCGGCCTGGACAGATCCCTGTAATCCTAATTTCTTAACATTACCAAGGTTTCGATGAGAAGACATTTCCTAAGATTACAAGATATATTTTTAAATTCAAATAGAGATTAACACAAGTCTACTGTACATGCTAAATACCTGTAACTACTGAGAAATTAAATACCTTTGATCTGGTGGGCTAGCAATAACAGATGGAGGTGTTCTTGGAAGCGGTCTATAAGCAGAAGGAGATCCTTCTAGCATATTCAACGTAACTTGAGTGGCAACCTGTGGAAAAAAGATTTATATAAAATTAAACATTTATCTCATATTTCATAAAAATTTTTAAAAAAATTTCATATTTACTTGAATTGTCAAAATAAATCTATTAATGTGCAACTAAATTATCTAAGTTTAGGTATAATAAAGAATCAGAGAAATTACATTGGAATATGACAATTAAATTATCAAAACTATCAGAAAAATGGGTAACAATTCACAACACTTTGCTGAAATATCCTGGAATTAATATAAATTTAAAAGAATTCTTGAAAAATAGATTCAACTAAGCAAATTAGATAACAATATTGAAAAATTCTGTTCTTAAATGAACAGATAAACTACCTGCTTTAAAGAGAAACATGGATAAAGAATGTAATCAAGAAACAGACAAATTTGGAACATTTTTTATTCACCATTCGAAGGTTAGTCCCAGCTTTTTCTGATCTTAAAAGCTGCAGGCTCTTCTACATCAAAAAACCTGTTTCCAATGGGCAAAAGGATTAACTTTTCTGAAACTAGCCTTATCACCAAAATGTTTCCAGCACTAAATTTAATTTTCTTTTTAATAGAGCTTTGGGCTCTTTATTTTAAAAAACAAAAAGATTTTGAAATTTATCATTGAATAAATCATATCTAATCAGATTAAATAGAACATAGTTTTAAAAGTTGATTAAACAACAGACTGATTTTTTTAATAATTAAAGACAATTTATAAATCAATAATTCCCATTAGCACTAAATAGTATTAATCACAATAGCTCAAAATCAAAGAACAATTTTTGGCGTAGATTTAACTATAGCTTTATTTAAATAATGAACTAACTTCAATTTTAAATAAAATATATAGAATTCTCTAACTTAAGTATTTGTATAAGTTATTTTTAGCTTATTCTGGAACTTTCCGTGAAGCGGGATATTTATTTGCAGTGGATTCCGTCCCACGTTGGTCTGTACGGGAATGAAATCGCTGACTCAACTTGGCACAAATGAACCTCTGCCGGAAAGTTTGGCACTCACATCCTCGGAAATTCACTCCATTAGAAAGCAAGGTGTTCAGCTAGTCTGGAATACTCTCCCAGAATATATCTGGTACTCTGGGGATAAGCCTGGCCGTGCCTTGACCTTCAAAGGTAATAGAGGCGATCAGACCGCATTCACTAGATTCATCAGTGGTCACATAAACTGCATGAGGTATGAGCAACAGCAAAAGATCTATCCCATCCACAACAAATGTTTCTCCAGTGCAGCCAGCCTCGCCCACCTGCTTAGCTGTGTGGATTTTGAAAAGGAGGATTTTCTGAGTGATCCGGTCTTGTTTTTTGATTTCCTGAGGGTGAATGGACTCATGGACCTGGTCTAGCGGAGCTAGACCAGTGGGGATGTGAAACAACAACAACAACAGCTTATTCTGGCAACTTGGTAAAAACCTAACTATCATTAAAAAACAGTTTTCATTTAACTACTAAATAAAAGGCTACATCAATTGAAGATTTTAATGTGCTTTTATTCAGGCTGATTCCATTTTGGATCAGTAAAAAGCTCCTTAAGGATGTTTCATATCTGCACCTATTTGTGCTAACCACCAACTGAAACCATTGAGGCTCTGCGAAACTACCCAGATGTTGTAACTGAAATATATTTTATATATATACATAGGGGATTCCAGAGAATATTTCTATACCATGATTTATGCCAGAGGAAATCACCAAGTCTTGGCAGTTTTGGGGAAAAAGAGAGAAACAAAAAATATCACAAAAGACCAACTTGAAGGAATAATTCGTAGCTTCCTAGGGCAACCACTACTTCTTCTCATTGGCACGACAGCCCAGGATGGGCCTTGGCCTTCTCAACAAGCCTATGCCAAGACATTCTTCCCTTAGCCAAGGTTCTCCAGTTTATTATCTTTAAAACTTGTAGGTCCTTTTCAAGGCAGTCTAAAAATCTTAGGTTTAGTCGCCCTCTTTTTCTTGTACCTGTTGGCCTCGCACTGAAAACTTTTTTGGTTGTCCTGCTATCCTCCATTCTTATAATGTGGCCTGCCCATTTAATCCTTTGAATTTTGATAAATTTAATGGCATCAGGTTCTTTATATGCTTGGTAAAGTTCCGTGTTTGATCTTCTAAACCAGGTACCGTTTTACTTATTCCACCAAAAATGCTTCGCAGTATTTTTCTCTCAAATCTAGCTATCATATTTTAATCTCCAAGGGTCATTGTCCAGGTCTCACATGCGTATGTAAGCACTGATCGTATAAGACATTTATAGAGTAACACTTTTGTTTTTCTTTTTATTAGGCTTGACTTAAGATATTTTCTTAGACCATAAAAACACTTATTAGCCATTGTGATTCTCGTGTGTATTTCTTGTGTAGCGTTGTTTTTGTTGTTAATCTTAGACCCCAAATAGGTGAAGCTATCAACGGCTTCGAATTTGTATGCTCCAATTTCAAACTGTGTTTCTTCATAGCCAGCTTTTAGGGCAACCACTACATGCTTATTTAAAAAATAAATTTTAAAAAAAACGTAGCAAGTTAAATCATTTGACACCTTGGAGATTGTAGTTGATGCCACAGATCATTACACAAAAAATATATCTTTACTCAGCATTGGCTATGTAATAACCTTTCAAATTAGCCACATTTTAGGACATTTTTTTCTCTCGTTTTGGATGAGTCAATGCAGGGTTGCATTTAAAACTTTTAATGCAGGTATGAATTACAAACGCCTTTCCTTTAAGTATCCTAGATCACTGATACAAGTTACAAAATTTTTAGACACATTCTTAGATGAACTTTATCATTATCATTTGAAAAAATTTATATTTAACAATTAAAAATTTATATACCTGCATAATAAATGAATACCGAACCCATTTTAACATAATATATATTTTGAAAGCAAATATATTCAAAGCGAGTATAAATTTGAAATGTATTTTAACAAATAAAGTTTTTCAATTAATATATTTCCTTTTTTTTCCCCTAAACCTTAGATCTACTTATCAAGCAGAATAAATAAATTTACAAGAGATTATTACCTCTAAATCCCAATTGTGAGATTCGAGTATATTTCGACATCGTTCTATGTCCTCTATTCCTGTTAACTCCTGAAATCAAACAATAGAATTAAAATATCGGTTGACTAACAATATGAAAAAAAAAAATTTCGTCAGCAACTGCAGTAATACAAGTTTTAATTGCAGAGTAATTATCACAAGAATGTTACACTGTAGATAAAACATTACATCATTTTTAAAATTTAATAATAGTATGTATACAAAATCTCTTTTCAAAAATTAAGTTGACTGATTAAGTAAATTAACTAAAATTGATTGAAAATTTAACCTGGAATTGTACTAATTTATCTGTCTGCAAAGATGAAAGCTGCACATCTTCCGCCATATTTATCTGTTTAGATTTGAGATTTTCTTTTTCAAACTTTTTTCACGTACTTGCAAACTTCTCTTCTCTCATCTCGTGCAACTTTCTTCGATAGGGAAAAGGCATTATGCGTATGTAATTTTATTTGAATTTTTCATTGGCTACTACGTAACGGCAACCAATAATTGACTTCATTGTTCATTTAGGACTATTTTAGTAGCGTTAGTTCAATTCGACCCTCAGTTATATTTCTAATAAATATCCAGAATCCAAATTAACATTTCGAGCTTCTGAGCTGGGCAGAAAGAAAAAGCTATAAACTCACCAAACCAACTAAAAATAAACAATTATAGTTCAATGCACTTATTTTCACGAAAAGAGTAAAATTCTTTGCTTTTTTTTCTTTTTATTTGAAAGCTTCTATCAAAATGATTTTACGATGGTTTGGTTTTTTTAAGATAAGAATTTTTAGTAGCATTAAAAATAAATCCTTTGTGTTACAATTTGATTAAGAATTAAAAGAATCAGTCCTTAATATTGCATTAGTGAAAAATAAATTACAGAATATTTGTAAGCTTTAAAATATTTTATTTATTGTTACATAATTTTTTTAATATTTTATAGTCATTCTTCCAAATTGATGGATTTCGAAGAAAAGCGTATCACCTCAAGTTGTGATAAATGTGGATTGAAATTTGAACCCGTCAGCAATAATGTTTACAAAGAAGGAAGCCATTTGTGTGATTTTTGTTATTACCTCAATTCAATCAAGGTAGAACAAACTGTGAATGCTAAAAAGTTTGAGTGTGAAATTTGCCATAAAAAGTTTTCACAAATAGGAGGTTTAAACCGTCACTATCTTACTCATAGTGAAGAGAGGAAACATGTTTGTGATCATTGTTCAAAAAGTTTTAAAACTAAATGTTCTCTTAATCGACATTATCGTAAACATACAGGTGAGATTAAGCCAGAGCTTATTTGTAGGGTATGCCAGAGAAGTTTTAACACTAAGCACCATTTAAATCGACATTTTTCTACTCACACTGGCGAGAAACCACATACTTGTGAAATATGTGGCAAGGGTTTTATCACCAGCACTCAATTAAAACAACACTTTTTTAATCACACTGGAGGTAAATTTGAATGTCTTGTTTGCAACAAAAAATTTACCACTAACACTAGGTTGAATCTTCACTATCGGGTGCATACTGGGGAAAAACCTTATGTGTGTGAAGAATGTGGAAAAGCTTTTCCTCTAAAACCAAATCTTGACAAGCACAACCTTATCGTGCATATAAAACGAAAGCATTTTTGTGATGTCTGCAATAAAGGATTTTGTTCAAAGCAATACTTAACTGAGCATTATTATACACATACTGGTGAAAAGCCTCACAATTGTGACGTGTGTAATAAGCAGTTCAGATCAAAACGATATTTAAAACAACATTTGTTAAATCATGCTGGAGTAAAACCACATATCTGTGATATTTGTAATAAGTGTTTTGGCCGAAAAGACCATTTGTTATCGCATAAGTTTGTGCATACAAATGGAAAACCTTTTGTATGTAGTATTTGTAATAAAGGCTTTACAAGGAAAACAAGGTACAATAAGCATGTCCATTTACATTCCAATTTGAAATAAACTATGTACACTTCTACTAAAAGCTTTCATCTGCTTGTCTTATATACTATATTTTTATATGGTTGTGCAAAAAACAAATCAAAATACAATTTCTGTAAATCCTTAATGATTTTTTACTTTATTAGACTTTGTTTTCTTGGGACCCTTTAAAAAAAATTTTTATTCTAATACCCAAAAGATAATTGATAACATCAAAATCCTATTGTATTTTTTTCCTTGTCTGTTAAAACCCCCTTTTTTTTAATGTCATGTATAAGAAGAGAGCTTAAATACTTTTTATATGAATAATTTTGATTTTATTTTCTAATTTTAAATTATTATTTGATTTTGTATTAGATATATTTGCAGGGGTCTGTCTAGGTTTTCCTGACAGGTACCTATTTTGTGAAAATTTAGACGTAATTTGTGAAAAATTAAAAATTATATTAAGAAATCAACACAAAAATATGGATTTATCGTTTCTTAAGGGATACAAAAATGAAATTTTAAGAAAAAGTATTTTGTGAAACTACCGTTTTTCCTAAAATTGAATTTGTGAAACTACCGTTTTTCCTTAAGTTGAACTTGTGAAGGTACCGCTAAACGGTAGTAAATTCGGCCTGGACAGATCCCTGATTTGGCATATTTTGTTTTTAAAATTTCTTCTAAAATAATTTTTCAAAAATGTCTTATTATCTAATTTAATGATCACTGCCTTTCGTAGTCATGGCTCTGCTTTAGATTATTACATACATTTGTTTATTGATTAATATCTGTTTTTTTTTTCTATTGATATCTATGTAACTGTAAAAAATAACCAACTAAATTTTCCTGTAAACTAAATGAAACAAAAAACACTAAGCCTATTTTAAAGCTTTTTCTTGAAAGAAAACTATTAGTTATGCTAATCATTAACAAGAAATTATGAATATCGTATCATAAGGGAAATCTATGCAATACCTACCCTTTTCAATTTTTGAAAAAAAATTTGCCGTATGTGTTCGAATATGTTTCACATTATGAATTGTCTGAATGAATGAATATTGTTTGGATCATATACATTTAGAATTATTCATTTTATTAATCATTAATGTGTGAATAGTCTCGTGTTATTTTAAAAATGCAAATTTTTCATTTGTAGAGTTTTGTTTAGATTTTAACTATTTTACAAAGTAGCTATTTGCTGTTCTTCTTTCAAGACAATTCATCCTAATTAAAAGTCTAAAGTTGTCTGGTATTCTGTAAACAAGACTAAACTCATTTTAATGATTTAGAATAATTGAATAAAAATGATTTTCCTAACCTAAACAAATATGAAACCTTAAACCTCACACCCATGTTAAAAGTAACCATAATAATCGTGAACGTGATGACCAGATAGTACCTATATTCTAATAAGAATATATTAAGCTGCAGTATAGCAAACTAATAAAGATATAAATCCTTAATGGAAATTTGAAGCCTCTCTGTAGAATATTTCTCCCAAAAGTTAATTAATTAATCACATGTAAAACATAGAAATAAGTACTATTTTTATAAATAATCTTTTCAATTCTGTTAGACATGAATAATAGCTATTTATTATTGTAAAATTTAGTGTCACTCCAGGAAGTGTCCAAGAAAATCTAGGTCATATAGTAACTCAGTATGTACTCAGTCCCTGGAGTCATGTACAGTACAGAACCCGTTATCCGGAAATCAGAAAACCGGAAAACCAAAAATCCGGAACGAAATTCGATAAATTTTCTCGCCATTTAAAAAAAAAAAATTTTTTCCTCTTAAGATTTTACGATTTTTCTTTCTTTTTTGAAAGATATTTACCTTACCATCATTTTGGAAATAATCATTAGTGTATTACTTCATCGTTTCTTCTTATTTTTAAGGTTATTTCCAATTTTTTTTTTTTTAGTTGGGTTTAACAATAAAAAAAACGGCTTTTTGTAGTGATTCAGAAAACCGGGAAAATGAGTTATCCGGAATAGCGATGGTCCCGACCGTTCCGGATAATCGGTTCCCTACTGTAATAGGAAGAATGCTATTTGTTCTATCTGTTTAGCCTTTACAATTTCTATTTAATAATAAAAATTTGTTGACTGTTATAAGAATGTGATATTTGTTATGAAGCTTTTGCAAGGAAAATTATATTTGAAAAATTTATTTGTATATACGAAAATTATTTATGATATTACTACTGTATTTGTTCTGTTTTTAAAAATCTATGTACCTAAAGGGGTTGGATAACAAATTTTGTATTAATAGTTTTGCATGATGCACCAAGAAACATTTTTATGATTCTTCACTAAAGCAGTTCAGTAAATGCTAAGTGCATTTTTACATGGAACAAGTGAAGAATAGAGTAGAGAGTGCATGTCAACTAAATACGGGTTATTATTATGAGTGCTTAGGTAATCTATATTGTTATGTACTATAAAAGAATAAACACTTAATAGGAAACATACAGTTGCTACTTACATGAGTTAAAAGCCAATTAGACTCTTGTGCAATGCGTTATGCACAGTCAGCAAAAAACAAAAGGAAAATTAAACTCGCAAATAAAATATTGAATTTCTACTCAGTGAGGCAAATGTTGAAAGTACGAAAGAACAAAATGGTGCTGTGCAATAAATATTGTCACTTCCAAAATTTGATTACATCATATTTTGACTCGCAAGGGGGTTGTGTTTGAGAGAATTTTTTCGTATTGCTCTGCAACCATGTGTAAAATCAAACTTTTATCTAACCCTTTGCAACGAAAGGGACTAAAAAATAATTGCTTAAAGTTTTTCTGTCAACATTACAGAATTTCCTTATCAGGGTTCCTAAACCACTTGCTTTAACAGACAGCAGGTCAGAAGTAGGCCACAAAGCCTCCATCCTTAAACTGTCTCATAGTAAAAATAGGAAAGAAAAAATGATTAATTACTGAACTAGTTCACCCTTCCTCAGAATATTGGGTCATTTGTATGAATTTTCTAATAGGAGAGATAGGATCAATAAAATTCAAATTAGAGTTTAAATTGCATGAACTGACTTGAATTTTCTTGTTCAAAAACTTAATTTCATACTGTATTGTAATAAATATTGCATTTTATTTCATTGCATGGATACCTTGTATTACATAAATTTTATCTTTCATATTTCAAAGTCTAAAATACTGTGAAATCAAAAGTATGTAAAGAGATTGCATTATTATTTTTGAAAAGATAATTTATAAACCCTCAATACTGTTGTGAACAAATTGAAGATAATAGTTGCCTTGTTGTGATTTTTGTTATAAAACTTTAAAAAATAATTGATCGCAATGTAACTAATCAGTTTCTATGAAATCTGCATTTGACAATTGTTAGCAAAAATATACAATTTTATATAAATATTTAGTAACATGTTGTTTATTTATTTTTGCAGTGTGGTGTGTTTATAACTAAAACAATTTTTAAATTTGTATCAATATTCTTATTAAAATATATATATCAGTTATGCAGCAATAAATATGAGACATTATATTATGTATATACAACTGTGCAGTATGCCAAAATAAATATTAAAAAAAAGACCCTAAAAAAAGAGAGAGAAAAAACCACCCTAAATAATTTTTTGATCTAATGATCAAATCTTCATGTTTTAGGGCTCAATTTAATAGTTTGAGAAGTTGACCTTAAATATGCTAATTAGAGCAAACGATATTTTAAGTTACAAAATCAGACCCAAAAATAAACTATCTCTGAAAAAACATACCTTTTTTCAATTGATTTGGATTTCTGACCCCTAAAATATAGGGGGTAACCCCAATCTGGGAAATATGTTCCCCTTAGTTTTTCAGGAGGGTGATTCAAATTTTGGTCCCTTTAATGCTAATTTTTCTTTTTGCGTATTTCACCATATCTCGAGATAAGTGAATTCAAACATTTTTGCCCACAATTCTAAAATTTGTCTATCCAATGATAATTCCTTGCCAGAAAAATATTTTAGTAAATTTTTATTATTTTATTTAATAGGTATACAATTTTTTTAAAACATTTTAAAGAAGGTAATTTTACATTGCAAAATACAAACTTTGAGCAAAACCCGTCAATTTGTTACTGAGAAATTGATTTTTAAAAAAGTTAAATACTAAAAATTTGATTCCGGAAACTATTTTACTGATATCGCTAAAATTTTGTATTTTGTCATGTAAAATTACATACTTTAAAATGAAAAAAAAAATTATACCTAACTATTCAAAAAAATTTCGACTATTATTAAATAAATATATATATCCTTACTAAAATTTATTTTTTGCACAGAATTATAATTTAAGAATTGTAGGCAAACTTTTTCAATTTGCTTAAAAAAATCCCAAAATATGGTGAAATATGCAAAAAGTAAAATTAACATTAAAGGTTTCAAAATTTGGATCACTTTCCTGAACAAACTATGGGCACCATATTTCCCAAATTGCGGCTACCCCCTATATTTCGGAAGTATGAAACCTGAATCTGTTGAAATAAAAGGTATACAGAAAATGTATGTTATCGTAACTTAAAATATCTGCCCTAATTAATTATCATATATGGTCACCCCCTTGAACCATGAAGATTGAGCCCTAAAACATGAAGATTCGTTCATTAAATCAAAAATTATTCAGGGTGCTCCTTTTTCTTGACGCACTGTGCATTCTATCATCAAGTTCTTGTATTGGTATTGTCACCAAAGTAATATTTCTAAGAGATAATTTTAAAATAAAAACTTTATTTTGCACTGCTAGAATAAAGCAAGAAATATCACCATGTGATATTTCTTCACAAAATCATTAAATAATCACTTCGATCTCTAAGTGACATTGCTTTGGTTTTCTTCATTTTTTATTTGTGTGCAAGGAAGATTTTAACATCATTTGATAACACACAGAAAATAGTGAACTTGAACTTCAACTAGAATGTGATAAAAAAAAAAATTTAGTTTTTACCTACAACAAAAATTTTATTTGGCAAATGTATTTTTATATATTCTATGATATTACTTGTTGTTAAATTTGTTTGAGGGAAATATATACTTCTGGTTATACAAATGTGTATTAAAACTTTTATATAAATATTTAAACAGTATATTGTTTATCTTTTTCTAATATTTTCAATATAACATTTTTATAAACTTGTTATATTTTCAAATATGCTGTATTTGTTTGAAATAAATATATGAAACTTCGAATTTTGTAGGTAGTGTGTATTATTAAATGTTGAATACAATAATTGCAACTCAAGCTCTTTATATACAAACAGAAAACTTTTACAGTAATGCTATTTTATATGATTAGTTATACAATATCCTTAAAAAGTTGGGTGTCTTCCTCTTTAAAATTAAATTTTTTCAAATATTTTTAAAAATATGTTATCTAAATTAAACTCTTGATAAATCCTATTAAAACCAGACAAGTCCTTTAGTAGAAGATATATTTAATGAAATATTTCCCTGCTTTAATATTATAAATAAAATATTTCCATGTATGAATCTGGTCACCATCTGAGCTATTTACATAGATGAATTATTTATCTGACTCCTGGTACCACGGAAGAAAGAGCATTAAGTATGTTTAATGCTATTTAATATATTATATATTTAATATATATGTATATATTTAAAATTTTCATTAGACTCAAAAATTAACATAATGCTTTGATAAATATTCTGTTTATTTATTTTCTAATGTGAATTTGAAAAAAAAAGCAGGACTTTATTATTAAAAAAGTTTTTCCCATTTATGAATAACATACAAAATTTGTCATGTTTGATAAACTCAGATTTAATTGCTGCACACATTTTAATTATGTTACAATGTTTTTGACAATATATGAAGGATCTGTTAATTTTAAGAAAATTATGTGCATTATTTTTTTAGCAAAGTTGTAAAAATTTAATTACATTAAAAAGGCACTTTAATTGTTGAGAAAATTCAACATAAAAAATTAGTACACTTTCAAGCTGATTTTTTTTCTTTTTTTTGGGGGGGGATTTCCTACTTTGGGGGAACTGATTTTTAGGCCTCATACCTGATATTAAGAAGAAAAAATTCTTAACAACCACTTTTGGATTACTTTTACCGGTGCCACTTTGGTCACATGCCAAAAGAAGTTTCAAATCAGATTAGTGTTTTAAAAAGCCACTTTTATAAATTTTTAAATCGTGCTCTTTTCTTTTACCTGTTCAGGGACTTAGAAAGTTTTTGTAACTAAATTTAAAAAACAAACTGATTATTAATATCTTTTCCAGTTACAAATATCTTTAATAACAAATGCACACTAAATGAAGTGATTACCATTAATGCATATGAAATATAGTTAAACTTTAAGAATGTATCATAATAATACTACATAGTATTGCATATTTGTGAGGATGGGTAAGTCTTGTCAATAACAAAACAAAGGATTGACTTAAGCAATTACCAAACAAATAAATATATGTTGTAAAATTTTGATACACCTAATGCATACCTAAATATTAAAAGTACGATATCCTTTTCATGCTACGTCATATTCTCCTACAGAAAAAACAATGATAGTAATACAATTATATTGTGCAACAATAAAGTTTATTACAAACTTCATATACATGAGATACAGATTCATAATATAAATAGGCACAGCCTATTTTTGTCATTTTATAAAAAAACAACTGAAAATAAATTTTAAAAAATTTGCAGGCACAACATTAATCGATAATCAAAGTAATTTAGACTAATCAAAATCTCAAGTTCAAAAACCTTTAATAGAATGTTTAATATGTTAATAAAATAGCAACAACGACCTTATTAATAAATTTCCTTTTGAATATATGTGTATAAATAATTTATACATAAATAGAAAGAAATTAAAACTGACTCAGTTAAAGATGATTTGTTTAATAGGAACCTCTTCAGTATTAATTAAAAGATTTCTGTTATTTTCTTACATTTTTTTAATACAATCTATATAATATAGAGAAAAAAAATGTGGATAATTCAAAGTTATATTTCTTATTTGCACCAACTGTTATCACCAAGGCACCAATCTCAGTTCTTCTACATGAAATTAATTTAAAAATATATAATGGCTTATCTGGAAGTGGCGACAAGTTTGCTCTTTCATGTGATTTCTCCTGTGTTACAGCCCCGTTTTCACCAAAATTTGGCAATCAATTTAGTGCAGGTACCAATAAGAAGAACATCTCTGGTTTGATAATTATATAACTTCATCAATCAACTTCAAACAATGCAGTTAGTATCTTTGTCTGAATGTCCTTCAGAGCATTCATCAAATTCTTTTCCTTTTAAGATGTTGGCATTATTACTTAACTGGATTTAATTTTATCTTCTTTAGAGTGAGTCAGCATATGAGATGTTAAATGAATTCTGTGACCAAAACCTTTTTGACAAACATCACATATATATGGCTTACTTCCAGAATGTGTGAGATAATGAGCATTAAGATATTGTTTAGAGTGAAAAGATTTGTTACATATATCACAAACGTCTCTTAATCCTTGATGGACAACAAGGTGATGTTTTTTAAGATTATGTTTTACACTGTAGCTTTTATTACACACATCACATGAGTAAGGTTTTTCTTTAGTATGTACCCTATAATGTATATTTAGCCTAGTTTGTGTGGCGAACTTTTTTACACAAAATGAACAACCATATTTTAATCCAGTGTGAGTTTGTTGATGTTGTCTTAACTGGGTGACATCAATGTAGGATCTATCGCAATCACTACACTTGAAAGGTTTTTCTCCTGTGTGAGTTCGATGATGACGCTGCAAATGATGTTTTGATATGAAACATCTGCTACATACATCGCATGAAAATTTAGATTTCTCATCAGAATGCATTAAATTATGTCTTTTTAAACTGGAGCATTTTTTATAGTGTTTATCACAAATGTTGCAAATATATACTTTCTTGGGCCTCATTTGTAATAAAAACGTTTACAATAGACCAATATATTTCTCAAATAATAAAGTTTATTTAGTTATTCAGAATCGTTATACTTGTTTATGATGGTTATGAAACTTCTTTATTAATTTTAACCAACATTGTGTGATTAGCTTATAGCTTTCATATATATAAAGTTCATAGATGGCGCTATCGCAGAAGTTGTTGGATGGAGGGCCTTGGCCAAAGAATACCTAAGGAGGCCTTTTCATTTCAATTCCAACCTTCAGTAAGGATAGGTTCGAAAAGGGACGAAATATATTGCACCTCCAAAACCCGTTTCACTGTCTCCCCTACATTTTTTGTGGGGGTGCGTGCGTTAAGTAACCCGAAACTAATCACTGTCACAGAAGGGGAATTGCAACCTGCGGGGGTCAACTAGCTTTCAAAAGATATCAGAAGAAACTCACTCTTTATCTTATATTCTGCTTTTTCTCTTTCTAAGATAAACTTAAAAAATATTTTTTTTAACTCTAAAACGACTTTATTTATTTTCAAAATAGTTTTATCATTTTATTTAACATGCACTTTTTCTAATTATATCTTGAATTGTTTATTATTTTGATTTGATTCTTAACAAATAAACACCGGGGTTATTTGTTATTTGTCACAAACAAATTGAAACATCAAAATTGAAAATTATTCGATTTAATTATCACAAAATTTTAAATCATATTAAGACAGATCTAAATTCCGATTATATCTGCGAAAGAAAAGGCATTTATTGGTTTTCATTAAAACTTACAACATAACAACAGATTGAGACAAGTTTACTTTACAAAATTTTATTAAAAACAAAAATACAGAAAATTATGGTTATCTGGGAGATATATTCATATAGATGGCATGCTGGCTAACCCTGGGAAGTTTTCGTGTTTTTCCTCTTTATGTAATGCTAATGACGGTTAGTTTTCTTATATTTTAATTAACTACAATTACACTAATTAAAGTTTGCAGTATAGAAATTTCTACTAAAACTCTTCTCCATGAATGGCAAAAGAAGGTCAGGGAAGAGAAATTAAAATAACACATTGATTACATACTTTGTTCTAGCAAAAAATTATGAATAAAA